AGCTGGTGATGTTCTTTGCGATGCTGTCACTATTGTTCTACAGCAAAGTCGTTCTGCTGTACTTGATACCAAGGCCCTCGCACAACCAGGCCGATTGGGTCGTCGCATGCTGTTGCAATGCGATGAAAGGTAAGAACTTTTACACCTCGATGAACATCGTGCAGGCCGTCAACGACGTCAACAGCATTAAGGCAACATTCGTTAATTATCGCGATTCCAAACGCCCATTCTATACAGGCTGGGACGCGATTTTGAAGAAACGCTTCAAGCAGATGCCAACCCGCTACACGTTCAACTACTTTTTTGAGATTGATGAAGGACTCGTTAACATGAGACACCTCAGCTCGACGCCCGACAGTGAGGTCGTCCACGTTCCGCTGATCAAGCAGGAGAATTTCGAACTTGTCCGTAGGCACGATCGAGCAGGGGACGTTGCAATACATCCGTTTGGAGACGGCTTCTGGCGACAGCCTGATGATGAAGAAATTGCTCTCGCTCTCATACCTGCCAAATTACCCGGCAATCCCGAGGGAGATCAGCTCGCAAATCGACGACCCGATTCAGCAAGCAGTCCCCAACCGCTCGAACAAATGCCAGCTTGTTTCGATTGACGCGATGATGGATCCGGACACCGCTGCGGCACTGAAGGCAAAACCTGGGCGTCCCAAGAAGAAAACTGGCGTCACTCCGGAGTACAAATCGATCCTGTCCTTCTTTGCCAAACAGCATAAAAAAATCCGTTATCGAAATAAAATACTTTGAATAGTGCATTGTGTACAGCTCGTCGAGATGAGTCGATCGCCGACCATCAACAGACTAAAAATGGCTGCATCACGGACATTATGCGAGAGCCGGGGTACTATGGTACCCCGGGGTACCGCCATAAGGTTAAATTGATGTTCATCGGGTGGGATCACGTGATTATTATCAACCAGGTTGCCCACGGCTGGCCGCTCGTTGAGGCATTTGTCCAGCAGCGGATTTACAGAGGCTTGTTGAAAGTGTGCTGCGGTCCAACGGCCGAGCGTGCGACGGCATTTGCACACAAACAGCTGGAGGGGAAAAAAACAACCCCGTTTGCGGTGTGAAGTTGATTTAAAGCCGCGGTAAACGCAAGCTCCGAAACGGTGCGTGCTTGTTGAGAGTGGAATTGCTGGTTAATTGTGAGCAGGCCGCGTGGTGTTCCACTCCCCACGTGGTGTCCCGCTGCCCACGCGGCCTGCCGCTGCCCACGTGGTTATTCCGCGTGCCGCTGCCCACGTGGTTATTCCGCGTGCCGCTGCCCACGTGGTGTGCCGCCGCGTGCCGAGTCGGTCCCCCGACCTCGCGTGCTGTGCGCCACTTTGAGGCGGTAGTTGTGTCATCCCCTTTGCTACAATACCGGAGAGCACCAAACGTCTGCGGCGCCCCGGGCTCCTGACAAATTACTGTGAAGCTAAATATTGAATCAGGCAGTTACAAAACATCCCTTTTCGTGATACTGCACGTGGAAGAAAACACTGCTGCAGTGGGAGGCCAGCAGATGCCCCGGGTGTGGTTGTCATAGTCCCAGCCCACCTCAGACAAGCTGTCTCATTGCAGCGCCCCAAGCTCTTGTGAAAATCTGGGTCTTCGTCCCTTGTTTCAAATTGTCTGGCGTCGTGCGGCGACCACTGATAGGGGCAAAAGGTGTGGCTACCTGGCAACAATAAACCAGGTGAGTGGTTAGAGCAGGGGCCGGCAAACGGAGCTGCATGCGGCTCTTTGGTTATGGAATGTCTTGGGGTACTATGGAATGCCTCGGTGACAACAAAATGTACAAGAGTCAAACTGTACTATTTAAATAATAACTCGGGGGGGGACAAAAAAATAAACAGGCGCAGTTTATTCCCGAACCTATTTTGTTTATTCGAGTCGGAATTTTTTGTTTGTCATCTGCTGTATACCTGCTGCTGTGTCTGTGTACAAGTGAGCTCTGCGTGTGATGCGGCCCTTGAACTATTTTGGTCAAAGACAAAAACAACACAAAAATGTCTCTCCTCCTTCTTCTTTGACCAGTTGCCGACCCCTGGCTAAGAGTGACCATGGCAGGGAATGTCCCCCGAGTCTGCACGCTAACGTACACCGCCTTCACCTTTCGGGGGTTATTTGACCGTCCCTCGCCGAGTTGGTCTGTGCAAATTGAAGGCGAGGATCGTAAAAGTACAGACCCCCTGGACTTTTACTGCCCTCTGCTGCCCAACACGTAGCCCTGACGTAGCAGCAGCAGCCGGTAGCACCCGGGCTGTGCATGGAGCTCGCCCCATCCCAGCGCCGTCCATGCTCAACCCCGCTTCACATTAGCCTTCCTACCCCATTGCCCATTCCACCAACCACAGCAAATGTGATTAATATAACTTCATCACCTTCCTAATAATCCTCATCTACGAGTCACATAATCATGATTCACGTCCCCCCGTGACTTTCATTATCGCTTTCACCTTTCGTGAAGAACCAATCGCATTTCTAAGCTTTAGCAATTCGTTTTTCTTTCCCCCCCCCACCTCCACTACTATGATGGAATTAAATAGTTTAGCGGCCCGAGCCAAAGCAAGTAGTTAGATTGACAAGCGGAAATCGATTTCGGCGCGATTTCTTTTCACCGCTGGCGAGACGGAATCTGAGCGTTCCGAGTGCACCACCGCCGCTGCAGCAGCAGCACGAGAACAACGGAGGAGCGGAGGGAGTGGGAGACGGGGGGAGCCCTTTGCCCGGCAGAGGGACGCGACAGACTGGACAACGGCAGCAACGGGCAGCGAGCTGCGTGGGTAGAGTGGGGCTGGAGCTCACGGTGCAGCTGATCTGCTCCTGATAAGTTTTTATTTTATTTTGGGTTAGAGCGCGTCAATATACAAATTTCGTCGCTAAATGCCCCACCACCCCGCACAGCCAATCGGTAAGGTTTGTCACGTAAACAAAACTTGCCAGTTCGTTACTAGTTCGGCATACCGGTGTGTAGGAGAGTAAACCCACAATATTTACACTTCGAGAACGACTTTTTTTCCGGTAATTACAACCAGCATCATCAGGGTAAAGGGAGGTGTGGACCGCCCTACTAAACACGCTGCCGCCACAACGCTGACTGAGAAACGAACGAACTTATCAGGCTGGTCGTAGTTACCGGTGGCTTTACTCTCGAACACAGCGGTGTGCTGAACTAGTAACAAATTGGCACGTTTTGTTTACGTGACAAACCTTACTAATTGGCTGTGTCGGGTGGTGACGGGTTTAACGACACATTTATATATTTACGCGATCTAACCCAAAAAAACATCTATTATGGATAATATTGGTCGCGAAAGCTTACGTTTAAACTGCTTTGCTCATGTCTGCTGGGAACCGCACCTCCGGTTAGCACCATTGGCTACGTACAGTGCGTAAGAAGTTCAACATACACACAACTGCAATCGAGACGGGTTTCCAGTCAAACCTGAATGGAAGCGTGTCTTTCGGTCCTCATTATACAGTGAGGGAAAAAAGTATTTGATCCCCTGCTGATTTTGTACGTTTGCCCACTGACAAAGAAATGATCAGTCTATAATTTAAATGGTAGGTTTATATGAACAGTGAGAGACACAATAACAACAAAATCCAGAAAAACGCATGTCAAAAATGTTATAAATTGATTTGCATTTTAATGAAGGAAATAAGTATTTGACCCCTCTGCAAAATATGACTTAGTACTTGGTGGCAAAACCCTTGTTGGCAATCACAGAGGTCAGACGTTTCTTGTAGAAGCTGGTTTGCACTGAGAGTGTGACCCAGATATTGCCTTCATGGGTCAATATCCAGATATTGCCTTCGCGTATATAGTCACACAGAAGTGGTTTATGCGCCAATTCCATGATTCTATTGAGGAACTGGCAATGACCCTACACAAGTCATCTTTCGTTTCTTCACGCGACCCACGGGCTCCCGTAATTCGTGCTCTGCTTTGAGGTTTTTCAATTTAAGACACATAAGTGCTGCAGATGTTATTTATGATGGTAGTGATGATGATGATGATGAATGTTCGTTCGTGCGAGTTTGTGTGGACAAGAAGTAATTCAGGTCAAGCCCATGTATGAGACAATTGCTGGTATTTATTATTCCCTTGGTATTATAATACTGCGTGTTTCACATTTAAATGTATACTCTTTATTATTGCCTTTAGTCAACCAAATGGCAGCTTCTGCTTCGTCAGGGATTGTGACAGTGCGGTATAACAAAAGAGAATAATTACTTACACATTCTCGCCACATTCATTGCAGTGATGGCTACCATGATGAATGTTCGTTCACGCGTGTTTGTGAGAACAGGAAGTAATTGGCTGCAAGCCACTTGATCTCACTGTATTTATGTCTTCATGAAGTGTGGGTACTGCCTGCGACCGATTCTAGGACGTCTTGACCGGCGTGGAAGGGTAGGCCAAGTAGCTCATGAAGGGGGCTCTCGGGAGCTCCCGCTTGTGGAGGTTCTTCCACCAGCAGTGGCACAGGGAAGGAACTATCAGGGCTGCACTGGGCCCACCCATGAAACTGAACTCGAGTTTTTGCTTGCGTCGCGAGCTTTCAGGGGCACTTCTGCGGCCGGAACGCTCTTCCTTCCGATTTTACGAAGTCCTTGGAGCTATGCACTTTTAAATCATCAATATTCAAAACTCATTTCTTTAGAACTGATTTATGTGTTTAGATTGTTGCACCTCCGATTAACATGGTTGGCTACGTACGGTGCGAAAGAAGTTGAACATACATACATACATACCTCCACCAGTGTATATACGTATGTTGAACTTCTATCACACCATATGTAGCCAACCATGCTAATCGGAGGTACGGTGGGTAATAAGTTCAGCATCCATCCATCTACCTGTCAATCCATCAATCATCTCTCCGTCATCTCTCCGCACCACCAGTCGACACGGTTGGCCACGTGCGGTGCGACAGAAGTTCAACATCCGTGCATGCCCCGCCGCCCGTGCGCCCCCGTGTCCCGCGCCCCAGAGTACGAGCTTGAGCCGTGCAGGGACCCGGGCGTGCCGGCGCTCGGCTCGCGCCTGGGCTCGGGGCTGCTGGTGGGTGACGCCGTCGTCTTCTTGTGCGACGCTGGCTACCGCCTCGAGGGGGCGGCTCGCCTCGTGTGCTTGGGCGGCGGCCGCCAGGCGTGGAGCGCCCCGCTGCCACGGTGTGTTGGTAAGGTGGTCACTTTCCCGTTGCTAGCACACACACGGCGACGACAAGAACAGCAACTCACAAAGAACTGCCGGGCCAGCAGTGGGATGCCATTTAAATCCAGATTGAAAACGAATTTCTTTAGAACTGCTCTTTGTGTTGTCATTTGTTGTCTTTCTCCCGCACCTCCGATGAGCACAGTTGACTACTTGCACGACCTAACCCAAAAAACCTGTATTACGGATGACATTGGTCGCGAAAGCCTACGCGTTAAACTGGTGCGAAAGAAATTAAACATTCATCCAGCACGGCTTTGGGGTTGGTGCGGTGGACGGAGGACATCTCCGCGTTCGCTGACACCGTCGCGTGTCGTTCGGCACGATGTCCGTTGCTTCGTGCGGTTTACGCCGTTTCTTCCGCGACTGAAACTTCAGTTGCCTGAGAAGCTCCCAACATGCGGCGCGAAACGTTGGACATCGTGCCAAGCGACACCGCGCGGGACTCACCCCACAACACGAGGGAGGAGAGCTGCACAGGGGGACCGCCCACGCGGCGCGAATTCTGTCAGTGGGATATTTTTACAAGGGGGGAGGGGCTTATGCTCACCTCGGTTATCTGCTCAGGTGGCAGCTCCGGTGGGAGATGTACAAACCTGGCCGGTCGCATAGCAGCATCAAGGAGCGGAAACACAACAGGCTCACGAGCCTGTTGTGTTTCTCACCGCCTCTCCCATAATGCAGCCTTAAACACGTCACCTTCATCATCCTCAGCATAAACACTGCGTTATAAGACAACAACGTATCACAAATGCAATTTGTATTTATGGGAACATGCGGTGTCTGCGAATGCATTTGAAGAGTTTAAGGAGATGGAGATGTTTTTTTGCCCCTATTACATTTTTTCCCCCCGCCATTTCTTGGAGACTCCATTATTGGACTTTTCCAAGGTTGCCCCATCAACCATTGCTGATTTGGTGGCTCAGTCCAGACCCACCTTTTGTTACCTCGATCCCTTCCCTACCAAATGAAATCAAGAACATTTCCATTTACTGTGCCCATTTGTAACCAACATTTTTTATATATTTCTCAGCTCTGGTATTGTCCCTTCCACCTTCAAACTTGCAGCTGTCACCCCTCTCCTGAAAAAGATTGGCCTTGATTCTGAGGTTCGAAATAATTATCGCCCAATCTCCAATCCACCCTTCCTCTCCAAGGTCCTTGAGCGCCTGGTTGCCTTGCAGTTGAACCACCATTTGTCCTCTAATGATTTGCTAGATCCATTCCAGTCTGGGTGCAGGGCCGGACACAGCACTGAGACGGCTCTGGTTAAAGCGGTGAATGACCTTTTGATCGCTGCTGACTGGCTCATCCAGTATTCTCGCTTTGCTGGATCTGAGTTCAGCCTTTGACACCACCGATCATGATATATTGACTCCATCATCACATCTTGATTGATCATTTTCAAAGCATCATGGGGGTTTCAGGAACTGCTCTCCATTGGTTCAGCTCTTATCTAGCTAATCTGCTGCTGTCTGCTGCTGCTGTGTCCTGTACAGCGTTTGAGATCCTTGATGTAAAGCCTCTATATACATGTAATTATTATTATTATTTATAAATGGGGATAGAGAGGCTGAAATTGGGACTTGGGACAACGTTTTGGGAGCAGGGCAAATTGAGAGAGGAAGACGGACGGGGGCCGTGCGCAGCAGCATGCATGGCGAGGTGAATGCTGTGGGCAATGTGAGGCAGTGGCGTTGTTGAGAGCGGTGAATGTCTTCGTTTGGTAGTCACGCCGCTGGGCCCTTCGTCTGGACGTATTGGCGGTACACCGGTGATGCGCGGTATAGAGAAAAAGATATCACATTTTTCGCGTAATACTTAATTATTTATTTTTTTCACAGTTCTCAACCCCGGTCAGAATATCTTGCGGGGTGGTGGTGGTGGAGCTCTGTCAAAATCAGTTGTCATGATGTCGAAGGCGTCGGAAGACGGAATCTTTATACGAACGGCTGAACGAACGCGAAGCTTCACAGTCTGTTGCTGTATAGCGGCACTCAGTCTGATGACGATTGGCAATGCAAGAACGCTGCTGCTGCCCTCCTGGACGTAGCCCACAAGATCGCGTGCCCCGGACGCAAATCAACAGTCAATATTTGACCTTTATTTAGTCTCAGTAGACCGAATAACCCTTCGAATCGCCGTCACATTTGGCGACAGGGTCAATTAAAGGCTGATAAAACAGATTTGCTGATTCACGTTTTGATGTGAGTCTGTTTTATGAGGACCGGTGTGTTATGCCACACCGGCGTACTGCCAATACGTCCATTTATTCTCTCTCTCTGCAGAATCATTGTCTTTGTATAGGCAAGCTCCTTCATTCTCTTTGCACTGTACGCTTCGAGTACAAATGATTCAAATAAAAGTTTACAGTATCGCGAAGGCCGGCTTCAAAAGAAGCTGTGAATTATGATCAAAGTGCGCTTCCATGAGTGGTAGCGATGTAACTTATCGCGTTTCTATATTTGTTCAAATCCTTGTAAATCGGCTGCAGATGTTACGTGAAATATTGAAAGATATGCATCAACATTAAGTTGTAAAAAAACTAAATACAAGGTTGGTATTTGAGTCACATTTTGCAGCCTGCTGATAAACAGCAGCTGATAAATTGTTACAATCCCAGCCTTTGGGCAATTACACACGGTTGAAATACACATTTACATATTAATTTGTTCACCTTCCAAAAAATATTGTTGGAAAAAATGAAACATGCCTTGCAATGCAATTTGGGCTGCACTTTTCTAATTTTATGGAATTGAGAGTTATTAAATTAATTGAACCTGCTGAACGTTTTTTTTCCTTTAATGTAACGTTGTACAAAAAATAGATAGAATGCACCGCAAATGAATTAAATGAACACAGCAATGGTATGGCATATATAATGAGAAAAAAAAAAGCAAAGTGCATGCAGGATTCTTTTTTTGGAGTATATATGAAAAAATCAGTATGCCCCAGGGGAGGGTAAAAACATACCGTGTTTCGGATGACGAGGGTTGTTCCAGCTGTGTCACACTTCAATCAATGACTGCTGCCCTTCATAGCCCGATAATAGGAGGCAGACCGGAGGGAACGACTGGACGTCATGAAAGTCTTTGTTTTGTTTGCCCAGAGATGGACGTTGCTGCCGGGCCAAATGCAGCAAAGTGTTTCTTTTATATGAATATATATAAAAACCCATTGGCACGCTGTAAGTATACGATGCGTCTGATTTAACGATGTTATTTGTGCATAGTGTAGGAGATCACACCGTCAGAAAACGTCGCGGTAATACTTTGCAAGCTGCGAGTTTTATTGGACGACGTTAAAATGCAAAGTCTTACTGAGTCCGGCGAAGTAATGATGATGTGGGAGCTATACATTCAGGACACCTTTCCTACGAATTTTGGGGGGTTGAACTTCACCGCTGCACACACGTTCCACAAAACGCGGGCAATTGATTTGCCTTGTTTGGAGTGTGGTGTCACAGTGGCGAGATGTCAACTACCTTGCTTGGTATACCGCAGGCCTTAGGTTCCATCCTGACCCTGATGCCTGCTGTATATTTGGAGTACGCATGTCTCTTTTTCCCCACGGTCGCGTGGATTTTTCTTTTGAGTCCTCTGGTTTTTCCCCCCCCCCCACATTTAGAATCCACATAACTCGTTTAGAGTATTTGCCGCTATGCATTTCCACATGATGTTGAGCCACTTCGTGGAGCTATCATTTGTGATAGCCAGGTTGCTTCTGAAGAAGTCCCGCATAGCTCAGTGGGCCTTACCTGGTCAAATAACGAATAGCTGTAGGTGAGTGTTTTAAAAGCCATTGTGATTACTCATTTGTTTACACACCCAAGCGTGTGATTTACACGTTTTTGCGTTCGCTCGCCTCCCCGGGCTGCCCCTTCCTCCTACCGTTCCCAGCCGAGTGCGGGACGTCGTTGCGAGGGGACGATGGAGTCCTGCTGTCACCCAACTATCCGCTGGTGTACGGCAACAACCATGAGTGCGTGTACGACATCGCTGTGGCCCCGGGCCACGGCGTCCAGCTGGCAGCGGTGCACTTCCGCCTCGGCCGCGGAGATGCGCTCACGGTACCGCGCGCGCGACAACACCGGCCGCTAGTTACCACGGCACACGTTCACCAGTCCAGAGCAGCATCCGTTTGGCTAACGCCGTGGCGAAATGTTAACTACCTCGCCTGGTATGCAGGAGGTCGTGGGTTCGATTCCGACCCCAACGCCTGCTGTATATTTGGAGTTTGCATGTCTCTCTCCTCGTCGTCCCGTGGATTATTCCCAGGATCCTCTGGTTTTTCCCTCCACATTTAGAATCAACATCACGCATTTAGAGTATTTGGCTGCTATAAATTTTCACTCGATAAACCATATAATTGAGCTATCATTTGTGATAGCCAGGTCGCTTCTGAAAAAGAGCTACATAGCTCACTGGGCCTTACCTGGCATAAACATAGTTGATTTTAGTTTACATCATTACAGGTGAATAGTGTAAAGTTACATCGCTGAAAATTATTTCTCCCACCACTGCGCGTACCTCCGGTTAGCACGGTTGGCTACGTACGGTGCGAAAGAAGTTCAACATACGTACTGCTGGCAGAATGGCCTTAGCTAGCGGGAGCTTTAGAAGAGCCCCTGTAGAGGGTATTTTGTTGACCCGTCCGTCCTCGGACATCTCTGAAAAAGAGCTTCATAGCTCATCGGATTCCTCCATGATAAATACAACTTCTGATTCTGAGTTGGCCTCCTCTTCCGCACTGGCCTTTAGACAGGGTGGGAGTACCCACAGTTTACTCCATCACGAGCGATCTGATAATTGAACAACATTACAGATTTAACCTCTACATTCGTAACGACGTTCGCGACCACAGATGATTCCACCTAATTTTGTCAACCTATGTTTTCATTCATCGTAACTTGGTTGTGATTGAATGCTAATGATATTTACGTGAGATTAGCCTTTTCTAATGTAATCTGCACAGCCTCACTGGAATTATACGAAGGTTTTATCTTGATGTATGCACATGAGCACAAGGTAATTTACATTGATCTGTTCTGTGTATGCCAGTACGATATTAATTTGCAATGCGTTGGCAGTTAAATGTTACTCATGTCCGTGACTACAAACGGTAGGAGAGAACGATTTGGATCTTTATCTCGGATTGGTTCAAAAACAAACTTGTTGATTGGTCCATACCAAAAACAACCTTGTGGATTGGTTTGTGAAAATTGAAATTTGTGTGATCTGGAGAATTAATGGACAGGCAAGATCAGGATCAGAATCAGAATCTTTATTTATCCTGGAGGAGAAATTGGATGAGCTATAAAGCTATTTTTTTCACAGATGTCCAGTAGGGGTGGGTCACAAAATGGCACCAACAACAACAAACAATACAAAAACACGATAGGAGTGCAAAGTGTAGGAAAGTAAAAAAATCACTAAAAATTAAATATAAATATACTAAAACTAAACTGTATTTTTATTTACCAGGTAAATCCCACTGAGCTCTTAGTTCTGTTTCAGAAGTGACCTGGCCACAATTGATAGCGCAACAAAGTGGCTTCTCATGTGTACATTTATAGCAGCCAAATACTCTAAATGCACATTTTCTAAATGTGGAGGGAAATACTAGAGCAAAAATCCACGTGACTATGGGGAGAACATGCAAACTCTAAATATATAGGCATCAGGGTCGGATTTCTAGCAGCCAAAAAAATCGAAATGATGGTTTCTAAGATAGTGGTGGTGACAATGATGACAAGATAGCCACCAATTAAAATTATCATCTTGTCATGGCCACTGACATTGCGGAGAGTTTGTGGGGTTACTCTTGCACGAGTGAGTGAGCAGTGTTGGTGCACGGTGTGCTTGTGAACGGTGTCTCTACCACATGAGGAGTAGAACCGCTTCTTATCCCCGGCAGTGTTCCCTTCCTCTCAACTCTCATTTCACTTTGTGGATTGAAAGGTTTTTTTGTTTAGTGTACAGTTTTATATGGTCAAATGGTAAACAAGTTGTTTCTTAGTTTAACACGGTAGGCTTTAACGACCAATATAATCTACAATAAATGTTTTTTGGGTTAGATCGCGTAAATATAAATGTGTCGTTAAACCCGCCACCACCCAACAGAGCCAATTAGTAAGGTTTATAACGTAAACAGAATGTGCCAATTAGTTACTAGTACAGCACACAAATGTTGTGGATTTACTCTCCAACACACAGGTGTGCTGAAATGAATTGGGCATGTTCTGTTTACGTGACAAACCATACTAATCGGCTGTGTCAGGTGGTGGCGGGTTTAATGACACATGTATAGTTATGCAATCGAACCCAAAAATACCTGTAGTATGGATAAGTTGTTTCTTGTACATTTTCTGTACGGGATTTACAAGCATCTGTAGGTTTGTAATTGTTTTTTTCGTACTGTTCGTGAAAATCTACATCTGGGGCGTGCGTGCTGATATTTGTGATCGTTTTATTGTTGATGACTATTAATATTAAATTAAACACGTTGCCATTATTGGGGGCTTTTGCATAGCATTAATTTGAATTTGTAAACACGTCCACAGCTCGCCATGTAATACAATCCCGTCAATTATTTTCAATGTTAGGTCTGCCAACCAGCAATTTTCCATTATTAGGAAAGCCTGAAGATGCTGTAATTAATTACAGGCTGGCATTACAGCTTGTGCCAACAATCGTGAAACACTATCCACGCGTGCGTGCAATATCTGCAGTGCTCTGCTCTACAAATGGCACCTTTTTATCACCGTGCATTACCGTTGGCTAAACGAACTTTTGGCAATGGTTGTGCAAAACCTTAACGTAGTGGGAATGAGCGCCGCCTGTGCGCGTGTTTTTTTTTAGCTCTGCTACAGTGAAGGGGTGTGGCTGGATTGTAGAAATGGGTATTTTTAAAAATTCATAAACGGAGGTGCGGGGCTGCTGTCCCTGATGGCCGTGCGGGCGCGGCGAATCTGTGCGGGATGGCCGCTCCGTGCGTCGTCTACGTGTTTGGACTTCCGAGTGAAGCGGAATTTGTTGCGATGAACGTCGATCCATCGCGTCCGAGATTCGCTGATGAGAAATAAACCGCAATTCTCAAATTTTATGTTCAGCGTAAATTTGAGTTGTACCAAATGATTTGGCAATAAATACTTTTTTTGTATGTATGTAGGTAATGTTCCTTTTCATTCATATGTAAAATTATATAAATATCGCCATACTTAATCGAATTAATAGTCTTGCAATAATAATAATGATGTCATCTTATTTAACTTTTGAGCACCTGCTCTGACAAGAAATCAGAGAAAGCTCTTTTTCCATTGGTGGTGCCAAGGCCCTTTGCAAGACAGCCGCTGTCTTATATTGATTGCATATTCGGCAGTGGGGTGGCACAATGTGGTTATCACCCACGCATCACAGCAGGAGTAGTGCGGGTTCGACTCCTAACTGGGGAACTTTTAAATGCGGAGTTTGTATCGATGCCCAACCACCGATTGTGTTTCTATTTCCACTCTCAAGGTGTACGATGGACTGGACGGCTCCTCGCGAGTCCTCGGAGACTTCACTGGCACCGCCATGCAGGACTCCATCATCAACAGCACCTCCAACCACCTGCACCTGGAGTTCAACTCGGATGGCGACGTGGTGGACGGAGGGTTCCGGCTTGTGTACACGAGTAAATAGCGCGCCTTTAATCCGGCATCATCACGTGACGCGCGCTGTACACCACCCGCTGATCTGACGCTCGCGCGGCACCATTTTTATAGTTTCTTGTGAAAATACAAAATACCGTCATCAATTCTTAACTGTGCTTAAATCAGATTGATTTTGATCATTAGAAATCATTTGGGAATTTGGTATTTATTGACAATGACACACAGTGACCTACATTTGCAGTCAATTTCATTAAAGTTTTAACGATGCAAATGACAAAACGGATTATTTATCTTATAGCTATGATGATTGTGAGGCTATGCGCTTTCATCTACCCTCAAAGATCCATATTCCTCTTAAATATTCACACATTCAATGTAAAGCGGTTGGTGAATTATTAAAATGTGTTCGGAAAAAAACATGATATGCAGCAATTATCAAAGCGTTCACATTTTGTAGTTCTGCTTAACTTCTTAGGGGCGCAGCGAGCCTCCGTGGCTGTCAGGTCTAGCCTATTGGGAATGGAAAGCCACGGTAATCAAACAATATCAGACCGCCTAAGCACGATGCAGCCGAGCGGTACCGTGCGGTGAGAATCGCTGCTGGCGAGCGAGCAGCGATTCCCAGCTTCTCTCGCGGTTTCTGCACCCCGCACGAGCAGGCAAGTCACAGGCTCCTGTAGGTAGGCAAGGCCCCCCCAACGTGAACGTTTACAACGCCGCCAAGCGCAAAGTTCTGCTTCCCGGGTCGGGAGCGCTCGCTCGTCGGACTGCGTGTGTTGTGTATTTGGCCGCGATACATTTCCACGTGATACGCCACTTTGTTGAGCTATCATTTGTGGCCAAGTCGTTTCTGACAAACAACTGCATCGCTCAGTGGGCTTTACCTTGTAAATAAAAAAATGGTTTAGTTTAAGTTTTAGTTTAGCTTGCTTCATAGACAGCGAAATAACAAAACGTTTATTTATTTTGGCAGATGTAACGCACCTTCCCCAATCACCCGTTCTCTTTTTTGCTTCCGTAGGCTTTGAGCTTCTCAGGTGCGAAGACCCGGGCGTGCCCGAATTCGGACACGTCGTTGCGGACGAGGGGCACTTCGCTGGCAGTAGCGTTACGTTTGGCTGCGACCCGGGCTACACGCCGCACGGGCGCACCGTGGTGACGTGCCTCACCGGGGAGCGGAGAGTCTGGGACTTCCCCTTGCCTTCGTGCCTCGGTGAGTGGCGGCCTCGAGTGAAGTATAAACGGGGGGATGGGGGTGGGGAGAGTAGAGATGTGCGGCTGCTGGAAGCTCGGCTGCACTACAAATCTGCCGATTAGGATGCACGTACTCTGAAACTTTCTGTCTTGTAGCCTCGGTCTAAACTGTTCCCTTCTTTGTAATGAGGCCTTATCCCTTCATTAATCATTTGCTTCCCTTCACTCTGCTACCAGAATGCAGCTCGAGATTGACAACTAATTTGTTTAGAACTGCTTGTTGTGTTTAGTTTGTTGTCCTTCCCCCGCACCTCCGATTAGCACTGTTGACTACGTACGGTGCGAAAGACGTTCAACGTACATACGTGCATACAAGCTCGCCTCTTCCTGTGCCCACGTAATCTGCCCTGCTCAGCCCTGGCTTATATGGCCCTCGTGTTTCTTCTCGCTTGATTACTCCTCACCCAATGATGAGTCTATTGTCGTGACCTGCCTCTTTATGACCTGTGTTTATGACGGTGATTAGATTCACAATAGGTCGCCATCTATTCTTAACAGATTTCAATTTCCAAGAGCGCAATGGTGCGTTTTTCATGCGTTGCCATCTCACCACAGTGCGGCGTGAAGCTCGACCAAATAAATGTACATTGCTTTGCTTTCATTGTCTTTGTGTTTTTAGTTTGTTGTCCTTCCCCCCCCCCGCACCTCCAATTAGCACGGTCGGCTACGTACGGTGCGAAAGACGTTCAACATAAATACGTACAGTAAACCCTTGTTAATTCGACACATATGGGGCTCTGGTCTTACCGAATTATCCAATATTCCGAATTATGTACAATGGTATTCCCCGGTGCCTCCTGTCCCAATTAAAAAAAAAAAATTCACAAACTCTTCACACACTGTACGCGCTGACACATACCCTGCATCAGTTCTACCTAAAACTTTTGATTTGTCTCGCAGACTAAGGGATTTATACTTCATTCCCCTTCTATTACTTCTCCATGTTGGTGTAGACGACTTGTCTGAGAGTGTTGGCTTGCATAGAGTGCACAAACAAGGTGAAGTCCAGAGCGACGGGTCCGCACGAACGCTCACCACACTCGCCATTCTCACCATGCTCACCACTCTCACCACTCTCGCCACGCTCGCCACTCTCACCACGCTCACCACGCTCACCACGCTCACCACTCTCACCACCCTCGCCACGCTCGCCACTCTCACCACGCTCACCACGCTCACCACGCTCACCGCGCTCACCGCGCTCACCACTCTCACCGCGCTCACCGCGCTCACCACTCTCACCACTCTCACCACGCTCACCACTCTCACCACGCTCACCATTCTCACCACGCTCACCACGCTCACCACTCTCACCACGCTCACCACGCTCACCACTCTCACCACGCTCACCACTCTCACCACTCTCACCACGCTCACCACGCTCACCACGCGTGCCGCCACCTGACTGAGTCGTTGTTCTGGTCATGGCGCGTGGCGTCGCTCCACGTGCTTGCCCAAATTGGGCCATTGGGTACGGCAATTCAGCTCATGGCGAATTACTAATACTGTTTATGTGCCGAAAGCGCAGCCGTGCCGAATTATCCCCAATTACGAATGATCAAATACCGAAAAAACAAAGTTTTACTCTACAAAATTGTGAACTTGTGTATTTACAATAATGAATGCAGTGTATTGCCACCGTTATGTCTATTGCAATGTGACAACACTCCTCATTTAGATTTTGAGATTCTGTATGGTGCCACGTGAAAAGTGGCAGAGGCCAGTACAGCAAAACCCCAATTGTTGTGCCCTACTGTGCTTCCGCGGCTATGCATCCACCCCTCAACAACTCCCACACTGACCAGCACGGTTAAGTAGCCAACGGACAAGTGGGCCGTGTGGTGGGGCATAGTGTTGGTGCTGTCACCTCCTTGCCAAGTGCCTCCTGGCCATCGTGGGGGGGGGGCTGTCTGGAGCGCCCCTTTCGTGGACGCCTCTTCGTCTCCAACAGGACATTTTGCAGGGCTGCGTTTTGACATTTTTTAATTGACAGACCAAGTGCACCGTTCTTCAGTGACACTGTTGAAAATTATACCAGATCATCATGGGACCTCCCTTGCCAGTATCAAGATATAATAATCGGTTTTACCTTTTCTGGCTCTAAAACAGGTGTTGAGATGTTAAAACACCAAACAAAATTTTTTTGCAAGGAATCGTGTCAGCATTAACCACATATACTCGTGATGAAAATGTGGAGGGGAAAACCGGAGGACCCGGAGAAAGATCCACGCGACCACAGGGAGAGAGCCACACAAACTCCCAGCATGATATACTAAACTATTTTTTATTTTACCAGGTACGTTGAACTTCTTTTGCACCGTACATAGCCAGCCGCGCTAATCGGAGGTGCGGGGGAAGGACAAAAAAGAAACACAAAAATCAGTTCTAAAGAAATGAGCTTTCAATCTAGGTTTAAAAGTGCACAGCGCCAGTAGCAAACTCCAAATATACAGCAGGTGTCAGGCTCCGGATGAAACCCACGACCTGCTGGCGAGGTCGTTAACATCTCGTCACCGTGGCACTACAAGCAAAATGGTGACATGCGGTTTGAGGTGCGGTGGAACCGTCGGGTTGGTAACCGTGCCTCTCCCGTGGCGGTGCGTGGCGGTGTGCGCGAAGCGGAGTGTGGCGGAGCCATCACGGGTGTGTCCGGGGGGACCATCCTGTCCCCCGGGTACCCCAACGCGTACGAGCACAACCTGCACTGCGAGTGGACGATCGAGGTGAACCCGGGATTCACCATCAGGTGAGTGTGCGGCCCTGTTTCACATTACACACGGCGGTGGTAATGCTCGTGCCTCGCGGCAGCAAGCGCCTGGGTTCGAATCCCGACTCGAGCGCCTGTCTGTGCGGAGTTTGCACATTCCACCGTTCTGCATGAGTTTCCTCCCATAGCTAAAAATATATATATAGACTGTATAATGGAACTGGTATTGGCATAAACATCCCAATGCTGATAAATTACCTTCAGCGTACTCAATTGGGATTATACAGCAGCAGCAGCAGCATCGCCCCCTCTTGCCAATACTTGGCAGCACCCTCAAAAAGCGTCTTGAGACTCGTAATAGGTTTTCATACCTCTTTTAAACCTTTCCCCTTCCGAGACGTCTGCAAGTTGCAGGATGAGCAGTCCCCCGTTCACCTCAAAATCTCGGAGCGCGCGAGCGGCTCGGCGTTCATTTTATTTAGAGAGGCGTAGCACCATTGTTTTTAAAGACGTCGTTATTCACTGCAGATAACTGTAGCGACACGACCGCACACCGTGACAGCTGGCGCCAAACTGTGCCACGCCCTCCCACGTGGCCTTGTGGAAGCTTCGGTACTGACAGCAGTCTGTTGGTCGTATATTTGGCTCACTGTGTCTGACGGCTGTCTCTTGACCTGTCTATCTGCCTCACTGTGTCTCCTCCTCTCCGCGCTGACGTGAACCGCATTGTCCTCCCCCCCCCCGCCCCGCAGTCTGCACTTCCAGGTGTTCGATACGGAGGCGTCGCACGACGAGCTGCGGATCTGGGACGGCAGCGCGGAGAGCGGCATCCTCCTGCGTGAGCTCAGCGGCCCCGTGCTGCCCGACACCGTGCACAGCACTCTGCACCTCGTCACGCTGCACTTCAACACGGACTTCTTCATCAGCAGGCCCGGCTTCGCGCTGCGCTTCACCTGTAAGTCCCTCCCCCCGCTCCCGCCCCCACCCTGCCCATCTCGAGTATGCTGCCACTTCGCTCTGACGCTTAGGGTTTGCCGTGGCAGCGAAATGTTATCTCCCTCACCTGGTATGCAGGAGGCCATGGGTTCGATCTCGACCTTGTCGGTGCCTGCTATATAGGGCGCCACGGTGGCGAGATGTTCACTACCTCGCCTGGTCGTGGGTTCGATCTCGACCCTGATGCCTGTATATTGGGTATTTGCGTGTCTCTCTCCGCATGGCAGCGTGAATTTTTCTCCAGGTCCTCCGGTTTTTCCCTCCACATTTAGAAACATGCGTTTAGAGTAATTTGGCTGCTGTAAACAAAAACGTCCAAATGGCAAACCACATTGTTGAGCTATCGTTTGCGATAGCCAGGTCGCTTCTCTGAAAAAGAGCTATATAGCTCAGTGGGCCTTACCTGGTAAAATAAAAAAATATACTTATGTTTTAGTGTAATGCTTTAACATGCCTGCACAGGTTACAAGTTAACATTTTAACGTCAACACCTTCCCACACGGCGTGAACCTGCCTCGCACTCCAACAGATTTCCACATTTGCACATCTATTGATTTCAAATTAAAAATGTAGACTTTTTTCATGCTTTGAATGTGGCAAAAACATTTTTTGGTAAATATGGAAACCTTCAACATGCTGGGACATAAGGCACAGGGATTAGTTGCGAATATAATTTTTTTTATTGTTGTCATATTGCGAAGTTTAATGACGGCAGTGTTGTGCTTCGCTTTGAATGTTGGTCATTAGGCCCTCTGCATGAAGGCTCCAAAGTTATATCCACGCACGCTCTGCTTCTCCCCCTCATGGGACACACTCTGACAAACCCCCTCCATAAACTATGCATATTAAAACAAGTCATGATTTGATTAACACGCAGTAGACTGTCGCGACCAATATTATCCACAATAGAGGTTTTTTTTGTGTTAGATCACGTAAATAGAAATGTGTCGTTAAACCCGCCACCACCCGACAGCCAATATAATCACCCAGGAATGTCCTTAACGCTCGTGATGTCACTCCACATCGACCAGCCCCCTTCATTAATATTCATGAGCAGGTGACGTCCTCCAAATGGACACTCCCCCATTATTATTAGCTACTATAACGAGCCAAGAATGTCTGTGTGCAATGATCGTGACGTCACTCCACGTCGACCAGCCCCCCTCATTATTAATCATGAACAGGTGACGTCCTCCACATTGACCCCTCCTCATTAATATCATGAGCAGGTGACGTCACTCCACATGGCGCATCCTCCCCCCTCATTAATAATCATGCACAGGTGATGTCACTCCACATCGAATAGCCCTCCTCATTAATAGTCATTATCAGGTGACGTCCTCCAAATGGACACCCCCCCCCCCCAATTCATAATAATTAGCGGGTGACGTAATTCCACATGGGGGGCCGAGGCGCCTCCTCCCCCCTCCTCAGCGTCAACTCACAACCCTCACTACAACGGCAGAACCCTCACGTCACGTGATCTCCGTAACGCTGTTGAGACATCAAAGTAAAAAGGACGTCATGATGAACAAGGGATTATAACCTTAAAATGAAATAGGTCTGTGTCACCGTGCCCTTACAAATTGCACATTAATGCAATGAATATCACGTCACGCTCTGCTTTTCGCTTGCTAGTTCCAGATTAACTGCAATACACCCATCCTTGGACGAGCAGAAGGCTCGTAAGTAATGTTTGTCACGTTAACAAAACGTGCCAATTAGTCACTCATACAGCAGCACACCGTTGAGTGTTGCAGAGTAAACGCACAACAACATTTACAACTGGAGTACCGTGACGTTTCACTGGTTTACTCTGCAACACACAATCGGTGTGCTGCTGTATGAGTGACTAATTGGCACGTTTTGTTTACGTGACAAACATTACTTATTGTCTATGTCAGGTGGTGGTGGATTTAACGACACATTTATATTTACTCGATCTAACCCAAAAAAACTTGGTATGGAAGTCATGGTTTACATAAGGTAGCCTAATCACTCCACACCTCCGATTAGCACGGTTGGCTATGTAGGGTGCGAAAGAAGTTCAACATACATACATACATACTCTGTTGGAATTGAAAATAATTTAAAGAATACATATTTTGATTTAAAGCTTTCGTGACTGCAGGGATTAATATTCTTGGTTCTTTTGGTAAAGTCACGGAGAAGGGAAACAATAAAATAATAAAAATATAAAACAATTTTATTGTTTTATATTTTTTTTATATAAAAATATAAAACAATTTTACGTGACTTTACTGAAAAAAACAAGAATATACTTTACATATCTATAACGTCCTCGCCAGGTAAGGGTGCATTTTCTAGCTTTCACGGACATATATAACATTTTATTTCATGTCCATCCGCTATGAGTGCAGTGGTCTCCGTTTGTCGATGCGCAAAATCACCAACAGTTCAGTTCCCTGAGGAGAAAAATGAATGTCCCTGAGTCTCAGATACTGGAAGAGCACTCTCCGAGGGGAAGAAGCAGTCGAGATTTAATGTTTTGGGAATATGTAGAAACACTCATTAATTGGCAGAAAATATCTTAGTATATGTAGGACTGTAGAGCTTAGACAATTGTTTCCACTAGCGCATGGCCTGGCTGCCTTCCAGCTTGGTCTATGGTTCTTCAGCAATTGTGAGATGCAATCCGCATGAACGCCACGGTGGCGAGATGTTAACTCGCTCGCCTAGTATGCAGGAGGTCGTGGGTTCCATCCTGACCCTGACGCCTATATATTTGGAATTTGCATGTTCTCCTCGTGGTCATGTGGATTTTTCTCCGGGTCTTCCGGTTTTTCCCTCCACATTTAGAAACATGCGTGAAGAGAATTTTCAACTATAATTTACAACGTGATAAGCCACTTCGTTGAGCTACTATTTGTGGCCAGGTCGCTTCTGAAAAAGAGGTACGTAGCTCAGTGGGACTCACTTGGTAAACGAAAATAGTTTCGTTTAGTTTAAAAGTTATGTTGGGAATAGGAAAATGCACAGCACTACCTAGCCTATTCCTTTTAACCTAATGTCACCAAGTCTCTTGCGTCCACTCTGAAGCAGTGAGGAGTGTTTATTGTAAATGGCAGCAGGGTGGCGCGGTGGTATCGGGGCGCTTGTCCATGTGGAGTTTATATGTTCTCCCCTGTTCTTCATGGGTTTCCCTCTGAGTTCTACAGTTTTCTCCCATAGCTAAAACAACAAAAATATTATAAAAATGTAAATTGTGATTGACCTAAATTATTCCAATGCTAACAAAAATTCCTGAAAAACCATTCAATCGGGATTACACACAGCAGCAGCAGCAGCAACAACAATTTGCCCCCTTGTGAAAATAAAAAAAACTGAGCAGGACCCTCCTGTAAAAGAGTCTTGGGACTCGGTGTGAAGCTCTCCTGGATAAACAAGTGCAATGATAATAATAATGAAGCAAAAGCTCATCGCTCCCTGGACATCTGTGACCTACTGGACAGCTTCACAGCTCATGGGATTCCTCCAGCCCAAAGTCCAAGATTCTCTCATCCCGAACTCTGCCCTCCCCGCAGCTTCGGTGGCGTCCGAGTGCCGGGACCCGGGCGTGCCGACCAATGGGTCGCGCAGCGGCGACGGGCGTCGGCCGGGGGACAGCGTGCTGTTCCAGTGCGACCCGGGCTACGCTCTGCAGGGACCGCCCCGCATGACCTGCGTGCAGGCCGAGAGCCGCTTCTTCTGGCAGCCTTCGCTGCCCATCTGCGTCGGTGAGGGCGCATTGCTGCAATGCTGGGGTCATAGCCTAGCCGCCGCAGAAGCGGAAACGAGCGGAGCAAGTTTCTTAAATGCTCCACCACCATCCCCCCCCCGCGTTTGCCCACCCAGCATTATAAATGGGTACCCCGCAAGTGAGTAAATCGGCAGGTTGCGGGTGGTGGGGTCAAGTTGTGGGTACTCCCGCGTCTTCCGAGACATATTTGGCCAGCATAAAATAATAGTTGGGAAACGCCCTCTTAGAGAGTGAGGGGCCCCTTCCGCCAGCAGTAGCACGAGTAAAACAATTACAAGTCTGCACCTTTACCCGTTAAACTCCCCCCTGTTCAATCAAAGTTATTTTTTTTTGTCAAATCTAAATGCCAACGATGTCTACTGGTTTGTTTACAATGTGCTAGGAACATATGCTCACTCCTCAACGTTTTTCTGTGACTTTACAGACAGACGAGGGCACAGAGAGAAATGGGAGACATTGTATCAGTCGAAGGTGTTGACAAACATCCTCAAGTATCGTCATTGTGTGCCTGTTCCCTCAGCGCCGTGCGGTGGTAACTTGACTGGCCCTGCAGGATTCATTCTGTCACCAAATTACCCCCAGCCCTATCCTCCCAGCCACGAATGCCACTGGACAATCACGGTCAACGAGGACTTCGTTGTGGCCCTCTCGTTTTTAAGGTAAGCCAGCGGTCTGCTGTTGTCTTGTTGTCCCCCGTCCCACATGTGCCCAACGATTGTTTGAAAGTAAAGTTACGGCTGTCCTTATCCAATTCGAGTTGTGTGTATACGCGAGGTAGACCGAGTCCTCAACGATCGATAAGCGAGGTTCACGGGAACAGTAGCCGTGGTATAAGTGATAGAAGAGTGACAAGGAGGCGACTGACTACCGGTGAGAGAAGGGATTTGTGGGTGCTGGTTCATCGACCAGTTTAACACATACAGTAGTAGTCATAGGAGGAGGTTTACTCGACCAGTATTATCCATAATAAAGTTGTTTTGGGTTAGATCAAGTAAATATGAATGTGTCGTTAAACCCGCCACCACCTGAGACAGCCAATTTGCAAATTGACTATTAGAATGAGCCAAGAATGTCTGTGTGTCCCACGCATGATGTCACTCCACGTCGGCCAGCCCCCCTCATTAATAATCATGAACAGGTGACGTCCTCCACATGGAACCCCCCCTCATTAATAATCATGAGCGGGTAATGTCACTCCACATGGAGCACCCCCCCCTTATTAATAATCATGAGCAGGTGACGTCACTCCACATCGAACAGCCCCCCTCATTAATAATCATGAACAGGTGACGTCCTGACTTAAAGATTCTGTGACTGCAGGAATTCATATTCTTTGGGTCTTTCGGTAAAGTCACGTAGATAGGTTCAAAGAAAATAACAAAAAAATACGACATTTTGATCGCAACACACGCGGTCACCAAGCTCTCAAGATGAATGGATATTCAGACTACACAATCCGTAAAGCTATCACCCCAACCGTTGGGAAAGAACCATCTGAGGACCCAATCAAAACCATCACCTTGCCATACATAGCAGGGGTCACCAAAAATATTTCCAAAAGCATGAGCAAACACAAGATCCAGGTTCGATTTAACACAGTACATAAAATTCGTGATCTGATCCCATCTGTGAAGGATGTGATCCCTGACATGCAATACCCCGGCGTCGACAAACTAAGTTGTGTCTGCGGCAGTAGTTACATTGGGGAAACTAAGCGACATGTCTCGGACCGTGTTCGTGAGCATAAGGCAGATCTGAAACACGGTAGGACCAATACCTCGGCCGTGGCTGATCATTGTTTTAATGCGGTGGGCTCACGCGAAGTTTACTTCTCTAAGACGAAGGTACTTTGCAAACCCACTGGCTATCAACAAAAATTCGTTCATGAAGCCATCCATATATACAGACACAGACACAATTTCAACCAAGAAGATGGGTACAAACTGAGCAATCATTGGAAGGACGTTATCAACCAGTTCCAACACACCGGTGGGCTAAAGTAGTGAACTATTTGTCTTTTTTCAACGTGACACTTTTTTGCTGATTGGCCGTGTCGGGTGGTGGAGGGTTACGACACATTTATAAATAACGTGATCTAACCCAAAAACCTTTAATATGAATATTGGTCGCGAAAGCCTACGTGTTAAACCAACCAGTTTAAGTCATAACTGGCTGCAATGTTCCCATCCTACCACCTTCCGTTGTTAATTGTTATTTTCGGCTCACTGATGTTACATTAACAGGTTACATTTCTCACACTAACACAGCCACCTTCGCGCTCTGACCTCGAGGTTGCGGCTCTGCAATCCCCCATTAACACGCTAATCTCTCACATTAACATGCTAATCTCTCACCTTAACATGCTAATCTCTCACATTAACATGTTAATCTCTCACATTAACATAGCCACCTCAGCACGCTCGCCGTGGAGGCCGCTCACCAATCTCACATTAACATGCTAATCTCTCACGTTAACATAGCCACCTCGCCGTGGAGGCCGCTCACCGATCTCACATTAACATGCTAATCTCTCACATTAACATAGCCACCTCAGCACGCTCGCCGTGGAGGCCGCTCACCAATCTCACATTAACATGCTAATCTCTCACGTTAACATAGCCACCTCGCCGTGGAGGCCACTCACCGATCTCACATTAACATGCTAATCTCTCACCTTAACATGCTAATCTCTCACATTAACATGCTAATCTCTCACATTAACATAGCCACCTCAGCGCGCTCGCCGTGGAGGCTGCTCACTGATTTTACAGTAACATGCTAATTTTTACATGGCAGCCCTTTAATTTGTGGAAAACCCGCCACCGTCATATATCGCCGCCCACCACTCACATTCACATTAGCTGCCCCGCCCATGCTGCTGACATTTGTGCTATGCCCATTTCAAACTTTTATAAACAGTTTGCCTTTAGAAGCTAACACCCTTTTCCTGATGACACTGCTTGTGTTGCGATCGAAATGTCGTAGTTTTTTGTTATTTTCTTTGAACCAATCTACATGACTTTACCGAAAGACCCAAAGAATAAGGTGACGTCCTCCAAATGGACACCCCCCCCCCATTAATAATAATTAGCGGGTGACGTCACTCCACATGGGGGGGCGAGGCGCCTCCTCCCCCCTCCTCAGCGTCAACTTACAACCCTCACTACGAAGGCAGAACCCTCACGTCACGCGATCTCCGTAACACTATTGAGATATCAAAGTAAAAAAGACGTCATGATGAACAAGGGATTACAACCTCTAAATGAAATAAGTCTGTGTCACCGTGGCCTTACAAATTGCACACGAATTGATGCAATGAAGATCACGTCACGGTCTGTTTTTCGGTTGCAAGTTTCAGATTTACTGCAATACACCCGTCCTTGGACGGGCAAAAGGCTCGTTGTAAATGTTGTGGGTTTACTCTCCAACTCACCGGTGTGCTGAACTTGTAACGAATTGGCACGTTTTGTTTACGTGACAAACCTTGACTAATTGCCTGTGTCAGTGGTGGGAGGTTTATCAACACATTTATATTTACACAATCTAACCCAAAAAACCCATATTACGGTTCATCAACCGTATGATGTTTAAACTCGGCATGTTTGAAAGTGGTGTGTGGCCTAAGTGTCCCTTTCTAAAGCCAGCTCCTGAAGGCAGCAGTGGCAGCAGGACTTGGTCTCCCTGTCTTGTGGAAAGGTTCAACCAAACACTCCAAGAAGGAAAACAAGAAATCAAATTAGATTAAATTGCAATGGAGTGTGATTAATCTAATGAGACCAGCTATTAGAAAATTATGCGCATTGAAATGTTTATGCAACTAAAAGGGCATGTACTTTCTGGTCAAAGAGTTTGAGTGTTTAATGAGAATAATTTTCTGATGACTTGACAGATTTTATGCTGCCGAGAGATGTTAAATGCAACTATAGTCCGTCAATTTCCATCTCCAAATTAACACGGTCATTATGTTCATAACGACTTTGAGTCATCATTAATAATAAGTCTTCCTCCAATTTACTTAGACGTTAAAACACAGGCTTACTGTACTGTAAGCAGCTTCAGAGATAGTCCTTAATAATGCGATAGGTGTGCATAGAGTGCAAGGTGTGTATAGAGTGGTGTGTGTATAGTGTAGTATGTGTATAGTGTAGTGTGTGTGTAGAGTAGTGTGTGTATAGTGTAGTGTGTGTGTATAGAGTAGTGTGTGTATAGTGTAGTGTGTGTGTAGAGTAGTGTGTGTATAGAGTAGTGTGTGTATAGTGTAGTGTGTGTACTGTGTAGTGTGTGTATAGTGTAGTGTGTGTATAGTGTAGTGTGTGTACTGTGTAGTGTGTGTATAGTGTAGTGTGTGTGTATAGAGTAGTGTGTGTATAGTGTAGTGTGTGTATAGTGTAGTGTGTGTATAGAGTAGTGTGTGTATAGTGTAGTGTGTGTATAGAGTAGTGTGTGTGTAGAGTAGTGTGTGTATAGTGTAGTGTGTGTGTAGAGTAGTGTGTGTATAGTGTTACATATTTCCGTCGTGGACCCCCTTAATGGAACATCTTCGCCGGTTAGGAACATTTAGGCTGGCCTGCCTACGATCCATCCTGGGTTTAACCAGACTGGATTGTGTGAGGAGCTCACAAATCCTTGAAAGATCTGGGCAAGGTCCCATCGGTGAGCTCCTCCGGCGGGCAAGGCTACGATGGCTTGGTCATGTAGCTCGCATGCCCAGCCACCGCATGCCGAAACAGCTTTTGTTCGGCCGGATCGAGGGGGCTAAACGGGCGCGGCACGGGCTAGAGAAGAGATGGAGTGATGTGGTACAGGAGGACGTGAAGCTGAGTGGACTTGCCGATGACTGGTACCAGCGGTGTCAAGGTTGGCCTCTGTGGAGGAGGCTCGTGAAGGACGCTACTGGGCAGTTGGAGGTAGTCGCCCTCCAACAACAACGGAGGGCGGAGGAGCGACGCTCACAACAACGAGCGGAGCGCCGGGTAGCTAAAGCACAGCAGGTTGGCACAGTAGGGGGCACAGGTGGTGCATCAGCCAGTCATCTCAGTCAGTCGACCCGTGACACCTGCTGGGTCTGCCCCGTGACCTCCTGCCAGCGGGCGTTCGACACTCCACGTGGCCTCAAGGTGCACATGTCCTGGCACAAGCATCGTGGTGACGTCACCGCCACTTAGTGGCGAATGGCGGTTGTTGTTGTTGTATAGAGTATGTGTATATAGCGTGGAAGGCATGTGACTCAATGGATATTGGTGTAGTGTGATCTAAGCTGTCACAGACCTAGGCCAGAATAAATTATTTACAAACAATAAAAAACTATTTCAAGAGTGAAATGGCTGCACTGAGATTGCACGAAGAAAGTAAGGCGCAGCACAGACGAGAAGATCGGCTTCGGCCAAGTTATTCACAGCAACGCTTGAATATGTTTTTCCAAAAAGTGTTTACTGGAGAAACAAAGGCATAAACATTCGCGTGAAAATACGAACCATATGAGACTTTGCCGATGACATGGCCATTACAATGACCGATGAGAATCAACTGCAGTAAAGGACAGAAATTAATCAAGGAGGCTGCTACGTGAGGCTCGAGAGCAATTAGCAAATGAAAGTTGGGTACAACACGTGTCGCTAAAATAATCAAGATATCTGTTCACGGGGACACAACTGCAGAAAACGTAAATGTATTAGTTTTATTCATGCAGGACACCCACACTGAGTCGAAAGTCTGTCTGTCAGGAGTGCCCTGCTCTGTTGGGTTTTTTATTTTAAGATGTCCTCAGTCAATGAACCCTTTCCTGTTCTGAGCCGTCTGCAAGTTGCAGGGTGGGTGTCCTTCGTTCACTGTCGAATCTCGGAACGCGCGCGGAGCTCAGCGGTAATTTTAATTAGAGAGGCGTAGCACCGATGTTTTTAAAGACATCGCTACTCACCACAGAGAACCGTAGTGACACGACCGCACTCTATGATAGCCGGCGCCAAGCTGTACCACACACCCCTCCCGTATGACCTTTTACTTCGGATTCCGTTCCGATGACGTAAACATACGTTTGAGTTGTTTATTATACACTTGGGAGGGAACCGGAGCACCCGGAGAACACCTACATGCGCGAGGGGGCAAAAACACTAACCCCGTACAGATGGAAACAGATGGGAATTAGTGGACTTGCTGTACTACCTTCTCCCAGGGTATGGCATCTCCTCGACGCACGCGGGAAGGGAGTTTCACAACAATTTTTTGTTGTTTAAACAAATGAACTTTTTTTATTTTACCAGGTAAGGCCCACTGAGCTATATAGCTCTTTTTGAAAAGCAACCTGGCCCCACATGATAGCTCAACAAAGTGGCTTATCATGTGGAAATGTATTGCAGCAAAATACTTTAAACGCATTTTCTGTATGAGGTGGGGAAAACCAGAGGACCCCGAGAAAAATCCACGCGACCACGGGGAGGGAGAAAGACACACAAACTCCAAATATGCAGGTGTCAGGGTCGGGATTGAACCCGCGAGCTCTTATATACCAGGCGAGGTGGTTAACATCTCGCCACCGTGGCGCCCAATCGTGCAGTAATCCACCATCCCTCGCCTCCACAGCGCTGGATTACAGGCCATGGCGCGTAGCCACCACCGCCCGTCACCACTTGAGAGCATCTCTTGCAAAAACGCAGACGTCAGTGGTTGGGGCGCACGCATTGCAAATGGGCCTCAGAACCTCTTCCAAAGCTGCGCGTGCGTTGGGAGATCGGCCAGCAAAAAAATAGTTGGCAATGGTCAGTCGCGAAAGTCTTCGAGAGGAGAGGCGTGACGTGGAAGGAGGCGGAGAGACTGGAAACCGACCGGCATGCACGGAGCGTTTCTTCTACACGGAGCAATCGGCCAGTGACTGAAGGCGATAGAGTGGAGAGAAGCCATTTTATCTTGCATAGGTGTTGTTCGCGATGCCTCAGAAGCATCACCATCTCCTGCTCTGTAAATATCTCGAGAAAATCTCGCTTTCTTGGATACCTAGATAAGGATGTATTTGTCCTTGTTTTCATCTATTATAATGGTTAATAATAATAATGGCTTTTCCACAAACCGGTTGCCTCAGCGAAAGAAGCCAGAAGCCGACTGATGGAGTGTACGATTGTCCAACATTTCACAACACGTACTCGGAGCTTTCAGGCCTTAAGAAGCTGCCAGCACACGGAGTGAAAAACGTCAGATATCATACCGAGCGACACGCGTTACAACATGATATCATGTCGGAGAGCCGTGTTTTTGTTGCTTCATGCAAGCGTAGGGTCGGCAATCCATTTTTGTGATGTTTTTTTCCATTGTCAATATTGTTTTTGCTTGTTTAGGCCTCGGTTTGTGATGGTTTTCTCTGTCATTGGCCAAATGCACACCTCTTGGAAAGGACTAATACATGTCAAACACCATTATGGCCGGGCCCTTTGTAGATTTATGAAAAGGTGGTAGACTCGGTGGAAATTGAAGCAGTCATTGAATGTATACTTTTAATTTTGGTGAAAATGTGTATTTACGTTGACATACGATGCCATCTGGTGTACAGTTCCCCACCCCCCCCCCCCAAGCATCGCATTTGTTGGTCTTGCTATCCCCCTCGATGTGCATTGCTCAAACATGAGGCCGACAGCGCAAACATTTCACGGCTGTCACATGACGAGCTGCCACATGACGAGCGAGCTGCCCAGCAGCAGCAGCTGCTGCCCCATTTCCTGCTTCCCCCACGACACCGGCCCACCCCCTATTTTTTGGTGGGGTAAAATATAATTGCTGACAGTTGATGAATTAGGTTGTGATTGTAAAACGTCGCGCTTAATTTTGCCGTTTGAGAAAAGCCACGTGTTAGAAATACATTGGTAGCATTTTAAACTGACTTCCAATGACGGTTTGTGTGGAGCTGGAACTGTAATGGGGAGGGGTAATACAATGCGATATAAACAGTCGCTTTTAAGCAGGTGGAAAGCATCGCTAATCTATGTATTTTTGTTGAACTTCGTTCGCACAATACGTAGCCAGCCGTGCTTATGGGACGTGCGGTGGAAAGACAGAAAACTAAACACAAAAAGCAGTTCGAAAGAAATGTATTTTCAATCCTGGTGATTTACTAGTGCATAGCTCTGGTGACTTCCTAACATCAGAAGGAAGTTCGTTCCAGACGGCCGCAGAAGCGCATCTGAAAGCGCGCGACGCGGTGACCGTCATTTGTTCGATGGCAGCAGCCAAAAGCCGCCGCTGCGAGGATGACCCCAGTTGGTGTGACGATGGTTGATGCTCCTTGACGAGATCAGCGAGGTATTGCGGTTCGCTTGTGGTGAGCGCTTCGTGTGACGAGCGCGACCTTACGATGCGCGACATCGTGGCGATTGTCACGCTCCGTGGATCGCCTCGCGCCGCCGTGGGGATTCTAAAGCGCCCTTTGTGCCCCCGGCAACGCGGGCAGCCTGAACCTGGAGGCCAACTACGACTTCCTGCACGCGTACGACGGGGGCGACGTGCTGGCGCCGCTGCTGGGGAGCTTCCACGGCTTGCAGCTCCCGGGCCGCGTGGAGAGCGGTGGCAACGTCATGCACCTCGCATTCCACAGCGACAAGACCATCAACGCGGGCGGCTTCCACATCGAATACCGCGGTGCGTCCCAATGTGGTGCGCGCCACTCCCGCCGCAGCGGCGTTCGCTCGCACGCCGCATTGGCGCTGCCGCCCTTTGCTTTCCGCGCCGCACCAACGTGACCACGAGGGGCCTTTAATGGTCATTTTGATTGCCGCATATTATTCGTGAAACATCGTTCGTACGCCAATTCGATGCTGTTCTCGTGCCAGCCATCTTTGTGAGTCTTTGCCACCATCGTGTGTGGTGCTGTGTCAAAAAAATCCGTCCTGACATCGGGGAGGCCCAGGAGCGGTTCAGATATAACATCACCGATGTTAGCCCTGAGCAGGAGTCAAACTCTCGCCGTCGGGTTCGTAGCGCAGTGCGCCAATCGCTATGCCACGTGCGTACGCACACAAGTGTGCCGTGTCAGCCAAAGGTACGGCAGATTGTCATTATAGCTGACTGATTGACGAATACCACGTTTGAGTTCCCATGGGATGAGGTTGCAGCTGAGAAATGTCCGTGTCTCTGGTCATCAGATGAGGCTTGGGCCGGCACTCATCTCATCTCTCCCACCACGAAGCAGGGCGCTGCTCGCTGGACACACATAACAGCGGGCACCGCTTGGCAGAACATTTTTGCTGTGGACTTTGTATTACATTGTGACTTACGGCATCTTTACTAATTGGGCCCTTAGCAGTGTCTGTGTGGTCTTTGAAATGCCAAACTGACAGTTGTGGAACTGAACTAAGCCAAATTGCCCGACTACCCGAACACTTCACCATTCCACAGTTTAGTGAGAAACAATTGTACTTATAAAGCTAATCGGAAATTAAACATATTTTGCCCTTTACCAAATAATCCTTAAGATGCTTCCAAGATGTGTTAGAAAGTGGGTAGTATGTGCACGTTCCTGAGCGATTGGGCAATACTATTTTTGGAATTTTTATTTTACCAGCTAAGGCCCGCTGAGCAATATCGCTCTTTTTCATAAACGACCTGGCTATCACGGGGAAATCTAAAGCAGCCAAATACTCTAAACGCGTGTTGATTTCAAATGTGGAGGGAAAAACTGGAGGACCTGGAGAAAAATCTACACGACCACGGGGAGAGAGATTCGCAAACTCCGAATATACAGCAGGCGTCAGCGTCGGGATCGAACCCACGACCTCCTGTATACCAGGCGAAGGAGATAATATCTCCTAGCCACCGTGGTGCCCCTAAACACGAGCGATGCGAAAACAAGCTTTTTTTCCCAGGGCCGGTCTCACTCCGGAGGGTCACTCGTTCATTTTTTTCCCGTCCGCATTCGCAGAGAAACCACGGGAGTCGTGCTTCGACCCCGGAAGCATCGCGAACGGTTCGCGCCTGGGCTCCGACCTGCGCCTGGGCTCGAGTGTGACGTTCTCCTGCGGCACGGGATACTCGCTGCACGGCTATTCCACGCTGCTGTGCATCATGGGGGACGACGGGAGGCCAGCGTGGAACCGGCCCCTCCCGGCCTGCCGCGGTGAGAGCCCGGGCGCGCCCCCCGCTCCCTCCTCCTCTCCTCCTGACGGATCGCGTCGTTCTGGCACCGCCCCCCCCCTGAGACGGATGATAGGATACCAATGACAGATGGCAGCGGAAGCGTGGAAATTGTTTGGTGTTTTGGATACGTATGTACGCATGTTGAACTTCTTTTGCATCGTACGTAGCCAACCGTGCTAATCGGAGGTGTGGGGGAAGGACAACAAACTAAACATAAAAAGCAGTTCTAAATAAATTAGTTTAATTTTATATTTAAACGTGCATAGCTCCAGTGGCTCTATAGTATCGGAAGAGCGTTTCAGACGGCCGCAGAAGCGCATCTGAAAGCGTGCTAAGGGGTAACCGTCTTTGTTCGATGGCCAGCCAAAATCCGTTGCTGCGAGGATGACCAGAGTTTGCCTGGTGATGGTTTGTGCTCCTTGAAGAGACCAGCGAGGTATTGCTGGTCATTTGTGGTGTATAAAAGCGAACATATCTAAACATTGTTCCTTTTAACTCCTACAAACCAGAACAAAAAGTGTGATTTTTTTATTGTTGTTGTTGGAAATATTTCCTACAAGGTGGGGAGGGCTGCTGCTGACGTGGGGGTGACGGTTTGCTCCTTTGGACCTTGCAATCCAGAGGTCGGCTGGTTCCGTCTCCTGTCAGGGCAGTTGAGAAACAATGGGCCAGATCTTTTATTTATTTTTTAATCCCCCCCTGCCTCTGTCCGCCCAGCGGCGAACGGGGCTACACCACAGTCGATGGGCAGGTGTCACGCGGCGGGGAAAAGTGTGGGTATTCTCACCTCTTCAAAGATGTACGTGTGTTCAGTTGATCATCGATTATCCGGCTGCTGCTTCCAACATTATCCGGCGGTCCCGTGTCGATCCGGCAAAACCGACCCAACGGCTGTAACCAGGTTCGGTGATTGGCACAGTGTGCGTGACATGCAAAGTAGTTATGCTTGATTTCAATGTTAAATATTTTAAAAATAACATTATACACTACGTGCAACTTAAACAATGTCAACAGTGCACTATACACATCACCCCATGATGCAGAGTCTATGAGATTCGAGTGGTAAATATGTTACAACAAATAAAGTAACTTTTTTAAAATAGGATGTTTATTTTTGTCTATTTGCATGTTCATTTATGGCAATTTCATATAGTAAACAAATTAAAATCACTAAAAATACATGTAAGAACACTTAAAAGTATGTCATACAAGAATGTGTAAAAATAAGCTATTTTAAGTTACGACGATGTTGTGATTATCCGGCATTTTTTAAAATCCGGCGCCCCCTCCTTCCTCGTAGCAGCCGGATAATCGGTGATCCACGGTACGTACGTTGAACTCCTTTCACGTCATACGTAGCCAACCGCGCTAATCTGGCCAGCATGGAAGAGTAGGCCAAACACACACCCCCGTAGAGGAGGGGCGGGGGGGTGCCTCTCTCTCGAGCTCGTTTGCGCCGGCAGTGACACGTGCTCGCGCCATTTTTTCACCTTTCTACTCTCCGCTCCTAGCCCCGTGCGGAGGTCACAGCACGGGCCAGGAGGGCTCCATCCTCTCCCCCAACTACCCGGGCAACTACAGCGTGATGCAGAGCTGCTTCTACTCCGTCACGGTCCCCAACGAGCACGGTGGGCAGCCCGCACCCCCTCTTCCCCCTCAACCCGAAGCGGGTCGTCAAATCACAGCAGACGGCCTGGGGGTGGGGGGGCGCTTTATCTACGTTTCACACGGCGATGTTTTATTTTTCATTGGTATCGCGGGAATGTATTTTGATGCGCCGAACGGCGTCACGGGTGGCACGTCGAAGCAGAACTTCAAGCGCCCGCACCTCTTACCGCCACAAATCGCTTCCTTCTTTCGTTACGAAAATCCCGATCGTGCGTCACGATAAGCCACCCGAACGAATAGAATTTGCCAGCCATATGGATGCCTAACGAAAACCTGACTCCCACAATTTCTCTCTCTCCTACTGGCTCCTCAAATCTCTCTCTCCTACTCGCTCCTCAAATTTCTCTCTCCCCTACTCGCTCCTCAAATCTCTCTCTCCTACTCGCTCCTCAAATCTCTCTCTCCCCTACTCGCTCCTCAAATCTCTCTCTCCTACTCGCTCCTCAAATCTCTCTCCCCTACTCGCTCCTCAAATCTGTCTCCTACTCGCTCCTCAAATTTCTCTCTCCTACTCGCTCCTCAAATTTCTCTCTCCTACTCGCTCCTCAAATCTCTCTCTCCTACTCGCTCCTAAAATCTCTCTCTCCTACTCGCTTCTCAAATTTCTCTCTCTTACTCGCTCTAATCTCTCTCTCTCCTACTCGCTCCTCAAATCTCTCGCTCCTAGTCGCTCCTCAAATTTCTCTCTCCTACTCGCTCCTCAAATATCTCTCTCCTACTCGCTCCTCAAATGTCTCTCTCCTACTCGCTCCTACATTGGCATTAGCTGCCGCGCCCATCTCTAAACCTTTATAAACAGCCTGCCTCGGCAGATTTCCCCCTCTTTTGCACCTGAAGACGATTGCTTGTGTTGTGATCGAAACGTCGTGATTTTGATTTTATAATTTTTTCTATCTACGTGGCTTTACCGAAAGACCCAAAGAATATTCTAGATTTGAAGTTTTGAGTATGGACCCAAAGAATATGTAAAAATAAGTAACGAAAATTTGAAACTCCAAAGTAGCCTCACAAAGGGTACCAAGTGACTTTAAAATAATAATTGTGAAGATGGCCATGGCAGCTGTTAATGTGAGGATAAGTGTGTGTTTTGCGTGACATTGGTAAGTTATGACATTACATCGTGGCTGTTAATGTAACTGCTTCACAGGTGTAGGTGAGACCAGTTACTTTTATTTATCTCGACGACTACGAGTGACTGCATTATATGTATATATAGTTTTTCAATGCATAAATGTCTTGTGAATGTAAATTATTCCGATTAAACGTTTGTTTTCAGCAGGCGAAAATATATAGTAACATCAGCAGTGGTGAGAGCCAGGAAGTGAAGGGCTGCACTTGTGCCCTTACCCTGTGGCACATTTCACAGCTTGTGTGTGGGTGAACATTTGTCTTGTGTCTGAGTGAACAGTTGACTTTGTCTTCTGTGTGGGTGAACATTTGACTTTGTCTTGTGTGTGAGTGAACAGTAGTCTTTGGACAATTCAAGTTTTTCCAGACGGGGCTGAGCGACCTTGTGGAGGTTTATGACGGCGCCTCGCAGAAGGCCGGACTCCTCAGCTCACTCTCCGGAGCGCACTCCGGTCGGTCATCATCATCATCATCTTCATCCTCATCATCATCCTCATCATCATCTTCATCCTCATCATCATCATCATGATCCTCATCATCCTTTTCATCATCATCTTCATCATCTTCATCCTCATCATCATCCTCATCATCATCTTCATCATCATCCTCATCATCATCCTCATCATCTTCATCCTCATCATCATCATGATCCTCATCATCATCATCCTTTTCATCATCATCTTCATCATCTTCATCCTCATCATCATCTTCATCATCTTCATCATCATCCTCATCATCATATTCATCATCATCTTCATCATCGTCAACTTTATCATCATCCTCGTCATCCTCACTGTTAACCGAGGGACTACTGTACAGAACCACAGAGCTGAGGCAATCGTTGGTGCCGCTTCTGGCTGCGTTCCTGCTCCTCTGTGGTGTCCTGCTCCTCTGCTAATCAAACCCTCCAGCGTTTTGAGATACGATTGGCGGTGTATAAATGATCGTTATTACAATCACTGAACTTTCGATAGCTAGTTAGGAGAGTCGAGGTGATATGGAGTGAATGTCAGAGATGCTTTCCGGGTCACGAGTAGTGGTGCGGAGTGGCTCACCGGATGTTCCATTGTGTGACATAGCTCACCACACTGCGGAGTGAGTGACCGAGACTCTCTCTCCCCGTGAGCATCACGTAGTTTAGCTCTTGCTCTATGGGACAGGTGTGGGGTTGCTCCGTGAGGTTGCTGTAAGCCACTGTATTTACCAAGCATCGGCCAGTCCCCGCACCTCCGATTAGCGCGTTTGGCTACGTACGGTGCGAAAAAAGTTCAACGTACGTACAACCCATATACTAACACTACCCATAGACTAACACTACCCATAGACTCAACACTGCCCATAGACTAACACTACCCATAGACTAACACTGCCCATAGACTAACACTACCCATAGACTCAAAATTGCCCATAGACTAACACTACCCATAGACTCAACACTGCTCATAGACTAACACTACCCATAGACTCAACACTACCCATAGACTAACACTACCCATAGACTCAACACTGCTAATAGACTAACACTGCCCACAAACTAACACTACTCATAGACTAACACTACCCATAGACTAACACTACCCATAGACTCAACACTGCTCATAGACTAACACTGCCCACAGACTAACACTACTCATAGACTAACACTACCCACAGACTAACACTACCCACAGACTAACACTACCCATAGACTCAACACTGCTCATAGACTAACACTACCCATAGACTAACACTACCCATAGACTAACACTACCCATAGACTCAACACTGCTCATAGACTAACACTATTCATAGACTACACTACCCACAGACTAACACTACTCATAGACTAACACTACCCATAGACTAACACTGCCCACAGACTAACACTGCCCATAGACTAACACTGCCCATAGACTAACACTGCCCATAGACGAACACTGCCCATAAACTAACACTACCCATAGACTCAACACTGCCCATAGACTCAACACTACCCACAGACTAACACTACTCATAGACTAACACTACCCATAGACTAACACTTCCCATAGACTAACACTGCTCATAGACTAACACTACCCATAGACTAACACTACCCATAGACTAACACTACCCATAGACTCAACACTACCCATAGACTAACACTACCCATAGACTAACACTACCCATAGACTCAACACTGCCCATAGACTAACACTACCCGTCGACCAACACTGCCCATCGACTAACACTACCCATAGACGCAACACTGTCCACAGACTAACACTACTCATAGATAGGCCTCGGCAAGGTAAGGTAATTTACCCTTTTTACCGGGTAAGAGGGTAAAGGTAAATGGTAAAGGTGTCGACCATGCCAAGGGGTAAGGTAAAGGATAGGGTAAAGGTAGAGCGGAATAATTACCCGGTGGGGTAAAGGTAGCTTAAAGTAAGTCCCGGTAAATACCCTGTTTACCGCTCGCTAATAGCTCTGTGGCGCAGTCAGTGGCCTCCATTTGAAATTGAAATCATTGATGTCGGACCAGATGGAGACGAACCACGTTCTTGATGTAGAGGATGAGGTCGAGGATGCCAGCAACGGCATTTCTGGGGTCGCTGCGAACAGCAATCAAAATAGGCAGTGGCATGCGTTCCCGTGGGAGCACACTCACGATTGGATGCAGGGTGATCCCCGTGTGCGGCAAGGAAAGCAGCAGTGCCTGCACTGCCACAAGTAGTTTTCCTCCCACACGAACGCGTTGGGGTGGAAAGTCCACCTCAAGAAGCACAACGTGCTCGCCCCAGGCAGCGAGGTCGGGACGTCGGCGTCGGCAATCCGCCTAATGCAGCAAACGCTCAGCCGGCCAGCAATCCCGGATCGCCTCCTAGTAAAGTTTGAGAACGCGGTGGTTGAAATCTCTTTGCGAGCCGCTGGCAGCGACAAGTTCAAGACCTTGGTCCACACATTGACGCAGGGATACGAGGGCCCATTGACCCGCGCCATCATTACAGGATTGTGAAGCTTCACGCCATCATGCTGCTAATCGTTGGGGCATTCTTCTCCAACCTGGACATCACCATCTCGCTCACCATCGACGGCTGATCGAACCGCGGTGCACTGGATCAACACCAAATCTGGTGCATCGAAATCCATGCTGCTGACGATTCTCAATGTGCAGTCTGAAAGGGGTGTTGGCAAGCGCATTGGCACCGCTCTGTTTGAGCACCTCCAAAGCCTCGGGCACAATGTCTTGACCAAGCTGTCACCAGCGACAATGGCTCCGATGCGATCAGTGCTGTCAAGACGTTGTTTGCCCTGGTCAACGCGGATGCTGTATATGAACAATTGCGGGCTTGCCACCATATTCACTGTGCGGATCATTCGGTTCAGATCGGCGTCGTCCAAGTTCTCAAACTGATCAAGTCGACCAATGCCGAACTGCGCTAGGCGCTCGTCAATATCAGGCACAGCAAGGTTGTCCGGCAGTCGTACCGCCGCGAGGCCAAGATCGCCAAGCTCGCCAGCAAGGAGCCGACGCACCAGGACTCCCCGACCAGGTGGAATTCGACGTTTGACATGGGCGACGACGCCATCAAGAAGCGTGTCCCATTGGCCATTATCATGGCACGCTTCCAGGATGTGATCGGCGTCGGTGCTTTATCTGAACTGCAGTGGGCAAACATCGGGGGCGAGACAGCATTCCTGTGAATGCCGTGCCAGGTCATGACCTCGTCGTTGGCAGAGTCGACATTGCATCTCGTGCTGGTGACGATGGAGCACCTGATCCGTCATTGCGATCACAGTGAAGCCGCTCTTAGAGCGATCGATGAGTCCTTGACCGAGACGGGGATGAAGGCTTAGCTGGTGTGGTACCGCGACTTCTTGGGTCAGGAACCCACCATTGTGGCATCCTACTTGAATCCACAGCTGCCGAAAACGACAAAGACGAGTTGGCTTCACTGAAGGCCACGATCCGCTCTGTCCTGCAGCATCGCTACTCGGACGTGCTCGCGATCCCACCGACTGCAGTCGCTGCCCATATGGAAGAGGGGTCGCTGTTCAGCACCCTATTCAGCAACGTCGGCAGCTCCATCGACGACGGCGATGAAGTCGATCGTTTTCTGAGCATGGGCGTCACGACCGCCAGCGCCTTCATTGACGTAATGCGGTGGTGATCTCCCCGCAAAGAGCTGCTCCACACCCACTACAAGATGGCCTGCGACTACTTGGGAGTGCCGGCGACGTCAACTCCCTGCGAATGCGCGAATAGCGGAGCCGGGCGGGAGTTCACGTGCGTTCGCCAGTCGCTGTTGTTGACGCTCTTCATCCAGTCCATGTGCTTGCGTTCGTGGATCGTGGCCGGCTGCCTGAAGGTCCCGTCTAGCCGGGCCGGAGCGGCGCAGGATCTTATTTCCCGTCGTTCATCCGAGGACAACGGCAATGACGAACTTGATCAGGTTGTTAATGAGATCGTCATCGACAAAGACAACTGGGATGAGGAAGTTATGGAGGACGGTGTCGTCGACAGCCTCAACGCCCGATTCGAGAGTATTCTTTATGAATAAAGCACTCTACCTAGAATTTACCTGTATAAACCTTTTTCATGTGTAGTACCCCAGTAATTACCCTGTAATCGGGTTTTGTATGGGGTAAGGGTAAAGGGTAGGGTTCAGGTAGGCTTGTTGCTTTTTAACTTTTACCTTTTACCCTACCTTGCTAAAGGGTAAAAGGTAAGGGTAGAGTAATTGTATTGTGGTAAGGTAAAAGATAGGGTAAAGGTAGGCTCATTGTTATTACCTTTTACCTTGCCGTGGACTACTCATAGACTAACACTACCCATAGACTCAAAACTTCCCACAGACTAACACTACCCATAGACTCAACACTACCCATCGACTAACATTACCCATAGACTCAACACTACCCATAGACTAACACTACCCATAGACTAACACTACCCATAGACTAACACTACCCATAGACTAACACTACCCATAGACTAACACTACCCATAGACTAACACTACTCATAGACTAACACTATCCATAGACTAACACTACTCATAGACTAACACTACCCATAGACTAACACTACCCATATGTAGTGGGTTCCACGAAGGTACACACTCGAACTTAGAGGCAACACGTTTATTTATGACCACGCTCCGGAGCATGGCCTCGCTCTGCCCTCGGCCACGCACCCGTCTGGATCTCACCGGAAGTTTCTCGGCCCCTCATCACGTATCCCTCAAGCCCCCTTTTGGGCCCCTTTGCTACCCTGTCCCAGTCACGTGCCCTCTCGGGTTCACTCAGACCGTCACGTCCTTACTTGCCCTCACTCTGACCGTCACCAGAACGATGCCCCCTAGGGCCCGCTTCCACGCCATGCCTCCCCTGGTGCCAGAGGCTCAAGACACACACTTCCACTCTTGTGACAGCAGCTGGCGCTAACTCCAATAGTGACTCCATTTCTGTCTCTACACATAGATTCAACACTGCCCATAGACTCAACACTGCATCTCCGATTAGCGCGGTTGCATACACACGGTGCGAAAAGAAGTTCACCGTACGTACAAGTCGTGCACCAAGGTGGACTCGTGAGATGCCTCTAAATCACCGCGACGTGAAGTGTTGCGAGGTGGCTCTGCGACACTTCCTTCACCGTGGAGGCCCCACTCTTTAAAACACGGCGTGATCCACGTGTAGATACCCCACTAATGGAGTCATTACATCTGTTTTTCAGAGCCTCTCGCGTGCCCCCCCCCCACTCCCCTTGTCGCGTTGTTTTTGGCTCTCTTTAAGATATCGAGCCGTCGCTTTCGCCGCGCTCACGGTCGGCTACTGACAAGCAAGAAGTATCGGGTCGTTAATAAGTCGGTGGGGGTATCTGTGAATGGATCGCCATGCACAGCATAACGTACAACTTACAGCATTCCCTTGTGTTAAATTTAAAACCGCACTTGTCCGCTTATTTCTGTACCATAAGACTATGATGACGACGATCACGATGATGACGTTGACTTTTCCGAACTTGGTGGATTGACCGTGCTATGATTGTCCTCCGTGGGTTGGGTGGAAATTCCACCAAACGAGCATGCGTGTGCGTGTGCTTTGCTCCGCAGGAGAGACCCTCCCGCTCAGCTCCGGCAATCAAATCACCCTGACATTCACGTCGAGTCACGATGCATCCGGAAAAGGATTTCACTTTGTCTACCAAGGTACGAGCTGCACGGGCGACGGGGGTTGGGGACACCACGGGGCTGCTGCTGTGCTTAAGGAGTCATCCTGGCAGTGGAGCCTTCGACGCACTTTGTAAACAAAACAACCGTCTTGAGCGGACCGAGGCTCGGTACATCGGGTGTATAGTCAGTTTCACACCTCGTTAGGAGGCTTTCGTGACCAATATTATCCGTAATAGAGGGGAATTTTCGGCAGCCGCCACCACCCGATGCAGCCAATTAGCAAGGTTTGTCATGTAAACAAAACGTGCCAATTAGTTACTCGTTCGGCATACCGGTGTGTTGGAGAGTGAAACCACATGTTGTTAGTTCAGCAAACCGGTGTGTTGGAGAGTAATTGTAAATGTAGTGGGTTTACTCTCCCAACATGCCAGTGTACTGAAGTAGACACGAATTGGCATTATTTGTTTACATTGACAAACCTTACTAATCGGCTGTGTCGGGTGGTGGCGGGTTTACCGACACATTTATATTTACGCGATCTAACCGAAAATAAATAAAACCTTTATTATCAGGTGGAAAATGTTTCGAATCAGTTGTTTTTTTTAAACACAGCTGCTGAACAAAGGCCCCAAAACGTCAAACGACCAGCAACAAACAGCACTGCCACGGTGGTAATAGACGAGAGCGTAAGACTTTTTTTGAATTGAGCAAGGTTATCATCGTAAGAGATTTGGGGGAAAGGGGCGGCTACGGTAACGACGATGGAAGGACGGAATTCCAAAGTGGAGCGGTACGAGGGAAAGAAGCGGAAAGAGAAGTGAGGTGACCCGCAGTGTGGTGGTTAAACGTGGCGTGGATGAGGCTGATCACGTAAATGTTTTATGTAATTTTGTAGAGGGGTTACATTCTGCAGGTAATTGTATCGTGGGCGTATCTAACAAGGTGAGTTTGTCCTCGCTAATTTGTATCACTCGTCGGTTAAGCTAACATATATGTTTTGGAACCATTTTGCATTTTCCATCAGAAGTGAAATATTTATGAGATAGAAAATTATGCAAAGTCTAAATTATATAAACGCTACGATTGCAAAAATAGCGCGGAGCTGCGACACCCAATGTTCCATTAATGTTGGACATAACACGAAATGCAAAAAAATTGCTCCTTAATTATGCATTCCATTCACTTTGCTGTGCACATCACGTTAATCTCGAACTAATCCTTAGGGTATTTGGGAGAAATTAATGTGAATTTTCTCGAGCGTAAAGGGGCCTCCGCAGGTAGTAGTTCTGCATGTGTGCTGAGGGGTTGGTACAGAGATCCCGGTGCCTACAACTGACGTGCTCATTGCACGTATGTATGTGTGTGTGTTGAACTTATAGTGAGGGAAAAAAGTATTTGATTCCCTGCTGATTTTGTACGTTTGCCCACTGACAAAGAAATGATCAGTCTATAATTTAATGGTAGGTTTATTTGAACAGTGAGAGACTGAATAACAACAAAAACATCTAGAAAAACGCATGTCAAAAATGTTATGAATTGATTTGCATTTTAATGAGGGAGATAAGTATTTGACCCCTATGCAAAACATAACTTAGTAGTGGTGGCAAAACCCTTGTTGGCAATCACTGAGGTCAGACGTTTCTTGTAGTTGGCCAACAGGTTTGCACACATCTCAGGAGGGATTTTGTCCCACTCCTCTTTGCAGATCTTCTCCAAGTCATTAAGGTTTCGAGGCTGACGTTTGGCAACTCGAACCTTCAGCTCCCTCCACAGATTTTCTATGGGATTAAGGTCTGGGGACTGGCTAGGCCACTCCAGGACCTTAATGTGCTTCTTCTTGAGCCACTCCTTTGTTGCCTTGGCCCTGTGTTTTGGGTCATTCTCATGCTGGAATACCCATCCATGACCCATTTTGAATGCCCTGGCTGAGGGAAGGAGGTTCTCACCCAAGATTTAATGGTACATGGCCCCGTCCATCTTCACTTTGATGCGGTGAAGTTGTCATGTCCCCTTAGCAGAAAAACACCCCCAAAGCATAATGTTTCCACCTCCATGTTTGACAGTGGGGATGGTGTTCTTGGGGTCATAGGCAGCATTCCTCCTCCTCCAAACATGGCGAGTTGAGTTGATGCCAAAGAGCTCCATTTTGGTCTCATCTGACCACAACACTTTCACCCAGTTGTCCTCTGAATCATTCACATGTTCATTGGCAAACTTCAGACGGGCATGTATATTTGCTTTCTTGAGCAGGGGGACCTTGTGGGCGCTGCAGGATTTCAGTCCTTCATGGCGTAGTGTGTTACCAATTGTTTTCTTGGTGACTATGGTTCCAGCTGCCTTGAGATCATTGACAAGATCCTCCTGTGTAGTTCTGGGCTGATTCCTCACCGTTCTCATGATCATTGCAACTCCACGAGGTGAGATATTGCATGGAGCCCCAGGCCGAGGGAGATCGACAGTTCTTTTGTGTTTCTTCCATTTGCGAATAATCGCACCAACTGTTGTCAACTTCTCACCAAGCTGCTTGGCAATGGTCTTGTAGCCCATTCCAGCCTTGTGTAGGTCTACAATCTTGTCCCTGACATCCTTGGAGAGCTACTTGGTCTTGGCCATGGTGGAGAGTTTGGAATCTGATTGATTGCTTCTGTGGACAGGTGCCTTTTATATAGGTAACAAGCTGAGATTAGGAGCACTCTCTTTAAGAGTGTGCTCCTAATCTCAGCTCGTTACCTGTATAAAAGACACCTGGGAGCCAGAAATCTTTCTGATTGAGAGGGGGTCAAATACTTATTTCCCTCATTAAAATGCAAATAAATTTATAACATTTTTGACATGCGTTTTTCTGGAATTTTGTTGTTGTTATTCTGTCTCTCACTGTTCAAATAAACCTACCATTAAAATTATAGACTGATCATTTCTTTGTCAGTGGGCAAACGTACAAAATCAGCAGGGGATAAAATACTTTTTTCCCTCACTGTACGTACGTGTGTGCCAGATGGATGACAACTGAGGGTGGGGCATTGTTTGCCACAACACGACGACGATGTTATGACGGTGACACTGTACCCTTCATGTACCTGCGCATGTACAGGCCATGATCACTCCGCTGCTGGATGAGGGCCTCCCCACACATTGTGGGCCGTGGGGATTATTTTGACCATACCTCACCATGCTGGTCAGGGGGCAGGCAGAGAGCTCAAACGTAGGAGCTTAGACATCACAGCAGTCGATTCTGCCGTACATATCCTGCTCTCTGCTGCCCGCCACGCAGCCTGCAACACCTGTTGCACATGGTGGTTGCCCATCCGAGCACATTCCACGCACGGCACCTCTTCATATTTCGAGCTTTGAAGGAGATTGAAAATAACTTTTGTTGGCGTATTTCCCTCCCCAGCTGTGCCAAGAACAAGTTCCGATCAGTGCAGCTCCGTGCCCGAACCAAAGTTTGGCCAGAGGCTGGGGAACAGCTTCAGTGTGGATTCTGTGCTGCGATTTGAGTGCAACTCTGGATACATTCTGCAAGGAGCCAGGGCGATCCAATGCCAAAAGGTGCCCAACTCCCTGGCACAGTGGAACGAATCCTATCCCACCTGTGTCGGTAAGGCAACGCAACACGGATAGCTGTTTTATTGCGATCGTTAAATAATCACTTCGCGGTTGATGAAAAGTGTGTGGTACGTAAGGTAAATCCAACGGGTTATGTAAGATCGCGAGTGATGTAAGCTCCTAAAGGAAGCCGCACAGCAGGCTCGCTGCACCGTGGCAGGCCCCTGTGGGATGTCGTGAGCTTAAAATACCTCTGCACTTTACACTAAACAGTCATGTCCGATTGATGGTATTGTTATACGCTGGTAGTATACATATTTTTGTTTTGACAGGTTTTCAAAATATTTGGCAATGCATTATCAATGCATTGTCAACAATGTTTTTGTGATATTTAAAAATTACACCACAAAAGCCACCCCCCCCCCCCCCCCCCCCCCGTTCTTCACGCATTCACAAAGGTTACGGGCAAAAATTTCCCAAAGCCGCGTTAGGAATTTACGCGTTCAGCGGCACAGCGCGTGCAGGGGAAACGATAGCCAGGCGCAAAGGGGCCGTCGTCATCTTAACCAACAGCAGTGGTTCTTAACCTGGGGTGCATCTCGCGAGATGCCCTTTTCTGGGGGTGCGAGACATGGCCAGATTTTTTTCGAAGGTAAATCATCTAAAACATTAATCACGGGCACAAAAGTACAACTTCTTTGTTTCATCAAACCCTCTATGTATTTATGAACTTGTTACAGTTTTTTTTTTACGATTGAGAACCAAATAGGGTGCAGTAAAGGTTAAGAACCACTGATCAACAACATCGTCACAAGCGAGCAAAGCAACGGGGACAGTAAGGTGGTGGTGGGGGGGGTGAGAGTGGGGCCACAGGGCAGAGCGACTGAGTGACGTGGGGCACCGAGGTGCGGACGGCTCCTGGATAAGACCGCTGGGGGTGTGAGGGTTTCAAGTGCCGCCTCTCCCTGGGCTCCCTGGGCTCCCTAGGATCGCCCCCCCCTCCCCTTTTTTTGAGGCAGCTCTCCCCGAAATCTGTCAGTCTTCCCAGAACGATAAAAGTTACCAGTTGTTTTTTGGCCGGTAGCGTAATAATGCAGCATTTTTTTAAAATGCATTTACACGAAGTTTCTGCCCTCCTCCATAGATTGTGAGATATTCGTCTTTCCATGTCCCGGTTTATTTTACCTCTCAGGTAGCAACCCACTCTCGAAGGCCCAAAGCGGAATTAGACTTTGGGGGATCGGGGTTCAACACCAGTTCCATTCCAGCACCTTCACGACCATTGAGTTCCAGATAAAGGCAGGGCGCACAATGCAGCTCCACAGGGGAGCACAGGGCTCTGGGGCCTTTTGGACAAACAGACCCTTGGTGACCCCACAGAGGCACGGGACGTAATCAGACTCCTTCACCAATGGGTCCCAAAGGAACAGACGAGGCAGGGACTGATGATGGGGAGGTGATGGAACTGAGGCGCACACGCGGGGAAACGGTGGGGGAAGTATGCCGCTAACACTGGCTCGCCTCATAGCATTGTTTGAATTCCCATCAACTCTTCAGGTGGCCAGTGCCATCGAGGATTGTTATATGAAATTTGTGGCAATACAATTTCTTGGGGGTGATTTGCAATTACTGGAGTGCATGACTGAGGAAGCCTGTTAAATGGGAATAGTTTATAACCAATCTATTTACCACTTCGTCAGGCTTCTCGTTGCAATTTAATGATTATTTCTCAGACTGTGCAAATTTTAATAAGGCGTTAAAGCTTTTACTGCATTTACGTTAATAGCCTTCTAATGTAGAGCCTCGTATTGTGTGACTATTGTGCTTGCTTTAATGATGAACAGCAATGTTTCTGGTTGACATCCACATAATCATTTGCATCTTTGTGGAGAATACAAGTGAACAATTCGCTTCCTTCATATATCGATCCCTCGACGTAACAAAAAAATGTAACAAGTATTTTTAACACATCCCGTAAGCCGCACGGCCCCCTGGGAGTGCATCATTTCAGCAGCATTGGCTGAACGCAAGACAACTCCGGGACCGGCTTCGGCGTTCGTTGGCTCATCAGCAATCAGCCTTGCTTGAAACCAGTGCTGATGAACTGTCAGTTGTTGATAGCCGAGGACACTTTGTGTGAGGCATTGTCCCGAGTTCAATGCAAAACTACGTAATACACAACACAAAATAATAATTCGCGTTGTTGTGGAGAATATAAATTGCATATATATCTATGATGTGTCTCATTGCTCCTGTTTCTTTCTTTTTTTTTTGTCCACACCAGCTGCGTGGCAGGCATGTCTAATGGATCAACTGTGTGTTGCAGTGCCCTGTGGGGGAAACCTGACAGAGCTAAAAGGGGCCATTCTCACTCCGGGTTTCCCCGAGCCGTATGATAACAATTTGAATTGTGTTTGGAAAATTACGGTGCCCGAGGGCGCTGGGGTGAAGGTAAGGATTTCCGGGGGCTGCGAGCATGCACGCGTACTGGTGTCAGTGGCGCTCCACACTCTGCCCAGGGGACAGAGCAACTTCGCTCGGGCCCTGGGACCGGCCGAGTCGTGTCGGTGTAGCAGCAGCGCAGCAGCAGCAGCTGCCTTGCACAGTACCGGAGCTGCAGGAGCAGTGTAGCAGCAATGCAGCAGCAGCAGCGTAGCAACAGCACAGCAGCAGCTGCATAGCACAGTCGTGCAGATTCTGCAGCGTAGCAGCAGCAGCGTATCAGCAGCATAGCAACAGCGCAGCAGCAGCTGCATAGCACAGTTACTCTGCAGCAGCGCAGCAGCAGTGTAGCAGCACAGCAGAGCAGCAACAGGGCAGTAGCAGCAGCCCAAGAGCAGCTGCATCACTGCAGCAGCAGCACAGCAGAGCAGCAGCAGCTGCATCACAGCAGCAGCACAGCAGCACAGCAGCAGTGTAGCAGCACAGCAGTAGCAGCAGCGCAGCAGCAGCAGCAGCTGCATCACAGCAGCAGCAGCTGCATCACAGCAGCAGCTGCATCACAGCAGCAGCACAGCAGCACAGCAGCAGCACAGCAGAGCAGCAGCAGCTGCATCACAGCAGCAGTAGCAGCAGCGCAGCAGCAGCACAGCAGCACAGGTGCTGCATAGCAGCACAGCAGCACAATAGCAGCACAGCATAACAGCAGCACAGCAGAGCAGCAACAGGGCAGTAGCAGCGCAGCAGTAGCTGCATCACAGCAGCAGCACAGCAGCAGCACAGCAGAGCAGCAGCAGCTGCATCACAGCATCAGCACAGCAGTAGCAGCAGTGCAGCAGCAGCACAGCAGAGCAGCAGTAGCAGCAGCACAGCAGCACAGGTGCTGCATAGCAGCGCAGCAGCACAGCAGTAGCAGCAGCGCAGCAGCATCACAGCAGCAGCACAGCAGCACAGGTGCTGCATAGCAGCGCAGCAGCACAGCAGTAGCAGCACCGCAGCAGCATCACAGCAGCAGCACAGCAGCACAGGTGCTGCATAGCAGCGCAGCAGCAGCACAACATCACAGCAGCACAGCAGCATCATAGCAGCAGCAGCGCGCCTGCAGACCGACTTTGTCCAAATTGACTGCCTGCACTTTTACAAATTTGAAAACCAAGACTGGATAACGTTGTGAAATGTATGCAAGATTGTTTATGCTGTTGCATGTGTTATAATGTTGCATTTTGTATTAATAGACCCGAATGAATGCCTCCCTGTCTGTTTTCACTTGGAAGTGTGTCTTCTAGAAAAATGTTATTTGTATGTGTATTTATTATAAATGTTCTTAAACGCAAAACAAGATTGTGAGGTAATTTGCACTGCACATTAACTTGTTTCACCAAGCCGTACTCTTGCCATACATAATGACGAGACGCCACTGCAAGTGACGACACTTATGACAGAAATCAGCATTCTAGATTTTTTTATTGCCTCCAAAAAAAATTAGTCGGTCACAACATTTGAGCCATTGGAGTAAACTGTTCCTCGAAAAAATAAAATCTCTCAAAGAGCCATTCCCGACGGCAGGTGTTGCCACCGCTCCTCACGGCCTGGAGAATCACGCCGTGCCTGCTTTGCCCAGTTCAGTTTCAGTTTATTTTTTCAAGTATATCCTGTGAGCTTAGAAGCTCTTTCATCAATAAAAAAAACACACCGTTTCCGTGACAGACATAGCCCATCAAAGATAAATAAGTGAATAATACAAATGAATAAATACATAAAAAGGTAAGAAATCATAATTTAAAATATAAAACTCATTTTTTTTAAGTTTTAACGATTAGGCACAAAAAGTGCACGATTAGGCATAACAAGTGCCCGTGATAAAACACACGTAGGCTTTCGCGACCAATATCACCCAAAAAAACTATTATGGATCATCCATAATACAGGTTTTTTGGGTTAGATCACGTAAATATAAATGTGTCGTTAACCCACCGCAACCAAACGTCGTACTCAGATTGTAAATGTTGTGGATATGCATTCCAACACACCGGTGTGCTGCTGTACTAGTAATGTTTTGGCATGTTCTGTTTACGTGACAAACCTTACTAATCGGCTGTGTCGGGTGGTGGCAGGTTTAATGACACATTTATATTTACGTGATCTAACCCAAAATAAAAACTGTATCATGTAAAACACACCGTTTCCCCAAGAAACACTGAATGTAAATCTCCAATTTAAAATATATAAATATAAAATACAGATGCGCCATCAATCAACAATGACATTGCACCGAGAGAAACGCGGCATTGTTAGAAAATAGTGCAGACAAGGCACAAGACAAAAGAGGCCACTCACAGGCCAACAATGTCCACACATCGTCTTGTTATTTATACAGTGGCAGCCAACGTCTCCCGTAGAATCGAACATTGCGCCCACACGTGGCGCTTCCGATCAGTGACCACACTTCCCGAAGCCCTGGCGTCACCATCCCTTCACCGGACCCTACCCAGAATTCACATGTTTTGATTTCTGGGGCACAGAAATCCTGAGGGGGTGCATCCCGTGCCAGCGGCAAGGGGAACTCTAAATGCCCTCATCGCCCCCAGTGCTTCCAGGGTAGCACTGGAACAAGGGGTCGGCAACCTGCGGCTCCGGATCGGCATGCGGCTCTTCAAGGACCGCTTCGTGATAGTTATTTATTAAGGACCACACCGTCTCGTATTCACATGCATTGCGGCTCTTGAAAAATATTGACTTTGTTAGCGAATTCGGAAAAAAAAGTCTCTTCTTACTACTTTGGTTTACCGGCCCTTGACTGGAACGAAGCTTCACACTTTACGTGAACGTGTCCAAAAACGAAACCGAGAGTGAGGCTGACAGATAAACGCTCGCACGACGGCGCTGGCCTCGGACGCCCTGCGGAGTTCCGCCCTCTCTCCCCCGTCCGGATCTCCCTCCTCCCAGTGGGGCAGCAGTTCCAATTCCACCCCCAATGTTGTCTTGCCCAGGCTCGAGACTGCACCGTTTCTCCTCTGCTTGTGGTCAAAGTCCTCCCACCTTGCAGTGTCTCCTGTGCAAAATAATTTGGCGGTACTGCAATGGCAGTGACCCGCAAAGTACAAATAGCACAAACAAAATCCTCTGCACATTCATCAATGACACTGCCCCGAAAAAGGAAACAAATCTAACAAGGACAATTTCCCAACACGTCGCCTCGTGTTGTTTATTTATTTTTCTGTTTCTGTTCAGGGCAGTGTTGTTAATGAATGTGCAGTCTTTTTTGTCTCCTGGACAGGTTATGTTGGACGCGAGCCTCTCCTCTCTCTGACATGTTCCCTTATTTACTGAATTGTGATGCATGTAACCACCGACTCTCGTTCGGTGTCTTGAGATGTGGTCACGATTAGATGCCTTCTCAATCCTTACTTTCTTGCGCATAATTGTCCTCGGTAGACAATTCATATCACGCTTGTGAATTACAAGTAAGCCGTCACTCATCTTTTATGCATACATATGCATCACATATGCCGTATTTAAACCATATGTGCAGTGCTTTTCTATTTTCCAATTTTTCCCGCCACTGGCAAAAAGCTTTCCATCTGATAAGCAATACCAAATGTTGAACACGAGTGAAATTGATTCCTTACTCAGTCAAAAATGTAATTGATTAGGCTTGGTTTCTGTTTTGCTTGTGCAATCATTCACGGATTCCTGCTAAATCTTAACTTGTAATTGAATGAGATTGTGCTTGATGCACGCAGTGCGGTAACATCTCCAAACATTAACAATACGAATATAATAATTTACAGCCCATTGTCTATCCACTGCTGGATGAAGGCCTCTCTGAGCTGTGTAAGTCGTGGGGCTTGTTTAACCATATTTCACCATGCTGGCCGTTCTTAAATGAAGTATACGGATATAAGTCCTTTTATATTTGCTTACGTGACATTAAAGTGGTTGTCCTCTTGATATTTGCCCCCCCTCCCCCTCACCATAAGAATATGGAATTTCCACCACTGGCTTAGGGCTGTAAATGGGAGATGAGCAGCAACACGTTGTTTGACTTTGCTAAAACGGCCAATTGTACAGCGATCTCTGGTGTATATTTATTGCTAGAGTTCAGCGTAAATCCGTGCATTTCTTGCAGATGCATGTATTCAGCTTTGCTACCGAGCAGAACTGGGATGCTCTGGAGATATACGATGGAGGGGATGCCAATTCTCCCAGGTTGGGAAGCTTCTCCGGTGAGTTACGTTTTCCTGCCTCGCTGCCAAAATCAATGTTTCTCAATTAGCGGCAAATGTGCAGCAGTAATATCTCACTTTCCAGGTTCTGGTAACGAGGCAAAACGCGACAACGCAAGGGCTAACGCAGTGTGATGTACACACCCTCTGCCCAACTGAGACATATGCCACTCGGTCTCGGGAACTGCAGTCTATAGGACAAACATGTGTTTTTTTCTTAGGGTAAACGTGCATGAAGAGTGATTTCATGACGGCAAAAGGCACGATTTCGACCATCGGATCAGTCCGCCCGTGTTGCCATGCGTGTCACGTCACGTCGCCATGCCGGTTGCATGACACACACAGACTCGTTCTAGACTACCTACTCAAAAGAGTGATAATCGCGGGCACGTTATTTCACACAACCGGTGGACGATGAGACAACTGCATACAGATGCATTCAGATGCGCTTCTGCGCCGTTTGGAACGCTTTTCCTTCCAATATTAGGAAGCCACTGGAGCTATGCACTTTTAAATCATCTAGATTGACAAACTCATTTCTTCAGAACTGCTTTTTGTGTTTAATTTGTTCTCCTTCCCCCACACCTCCGATTAGCACAGTTGGCTACTACGGTGCGAAAGAAGTTCAAAATACGTACATTGCGGCCTAGCTCCCCAACGCTTACTGCTGCACCCTCGTGCCCCAGCGGCTTTGCGTTGACAATCTCTCCACCATCCCTGTGGCGACAGTTGTCCTACGGATATACCGGACCCCACCATAGGAGTGTGGAATTAACACTACTGGCTCAGGGCTGCATACAGGAGAAGAGCACCGCCTCGATGCTCATTTGAGCACGAAGTCGTGTTGACCGATTTTAAGTGCGATAATAAATGCTTTGTAACACTCATCTCGATGATGAGGAACTTAGTGCTAGATTTGGTTTGCGGTTTCAGCTGCTCGCAGTCTCGCGGTGCTGAATGCAGTAGTGCGGTTATTTTTAGTCGCACATTGCTGGCATTAATCACATTAAACCTAACTATAACTACAAGGGATTTGCCTTGCGTGTGCGTTGAGTGCCCGTAATCCAAATACAGCATATTCACTCTTATGAGAAGAAGAATGATAATAAAGTTTTGTTTGTATATATATCGCATCATATCATGAAAATTGCACCTCAGCAATGGCTTAGGAAGCAGACAAGCTGGAAGGCAACCAGACGATGAGCCTGCACCAGCAATTGTCCAAGCTCTACAGTCCTATAAATATATACATTAAGATGTTTTCAGCCGATTAATTAGTGTTCGTACATGTGGAAGGAAACTGGAACACTCGCACGTGCGAGGGGGCAACGCTCAATCCCATACAGAAGGGACATATTGTATTAGTCTCCCCTTTGCTGTACCGCCTTTCCCTGGCAAGTCAGGGTACGCACCCGGATGACCACGTTAAGGTGATTCTTGCAACATTTGTGCGGTGATCCACCAGCCCTCATGGTGATTATTGCACTGCACATTAGTTTGGCACTCTCCGTCCGAGGGATGTTTCCTGAACCTCGGATGGTTGTAATAACTCACTGAGACGCGCAACCTGATAACGCTGTCATAAATTATAACCTAGTAATTGCCATATAATTGAAATTCTTTGCGGGGTTGCTAATTGATCATAAAAAATATAAATGTCGTCTCAGCGTTGATAATTGCCTTGATGGCAATGCCTCTGCCAAGGGCACCAACTCTGTTGAGTGACCTTTGCAAATTTGCTACGAGAAGCCTCATTTGTGTTTACAAAGGCATTTGTTCTAGATACAAGAATTATCACTTTTGAATGTGATTAAAAGTTTGCTATAAAACATCATTAGTCCACAATTGGATTATTTTGTTTTACTTTTTCTCTAAAATAATCACTTAGCAACTTGTAATGCTGCCTTGCGAACAAGTTTGATGCCGTTCAGACACGAACATAATTAAAATTTGACCTCTACAGTGACATTGAGTGCCATTCATGTTAATAGTTCTTGTGTAGATAGTAGCTTCGGCGTTCGTATAATTGTGCTTTTTCTGCGAGCCCTTTCAGGTTGTTAGCGATACACAGCGGGCGTACAGAGTGAAACCACAATGGCCTTGCCACGCCGCCGGTGCCGATTGGCTACGATTGATTTTTTTCGCAGGGCTATTTGGTGTTCCATCTCAAAACGTGAAAGCTTGAGATGAGACGTCCTTAAAATAAATATCGAATTAAGCACTAAACCAAAACAACCAGAGAACCAAGAATATAAACCAAAACAATTGAGAAAAACGAACTGCTATCAAACACATTATATGCTACGGGGTCATGTAATCGATAAAAGTGGTACACTTTAACGTAAAATGGCAGATTTAACGATTCGTAAATTATCGCCCTTCTAAAGCTGCACCAAACAAACGAGCCTTGGGCCGTTTTGCACGCGGCGAGGTATTCCAGAGACAAAGAAATCATAATCTCCCACAGCACTTCATAAAATATACACGCACACGCGCGCACGCCGTCCCTTGGCAGCTGTTAATGCGTGCTTTTGTGGTGGCAAGTTATAAATTGCGTGGTGGAATTTGTCACCTAAGCCTTACCTATTGGTAATCAATAAAGGTCCGAGGTGAATATGTGGTGGAATTGAGAGCCAGTACATTTTAAATAGCTGAAGTAATTAATTGTACGTAGAACGTGGTGACATTTGCTGCAAAGTTCATTAGGAATAGAAGTCCAGACGGAACGAAGTTAGGTTAAGACCATCAACAAAAATTTACAGTAATCAATATGAGACAATGGCGGAGCCAGGATATTCAGGTAGGGGGGGCAACCCCTCCAGCAATGAAAAATAATAGTTGTAAGTAAGTAAGGACTTGTTAGTGAGTAAGGAGTTGTTAGTAAGTAAGGACTTGTTAGTGAGTAAGGAGTTGTTAGTAAGTAAGGACTTGTCCCTTTCTTTTTACTCGACGCGTGTGCGGCGATGGCGCAGCCATCGTACGAGGGTCAAATTGGAACCGCGTTGTGTGATCGGCATCGCGCTCGCTGAAGGTGTTGATGCCTTCAGGGAAGTCACGTACTCTACACGCAACTGCGCACAATTCTGTGAGTCACTTATAACTGCTTATCCGTTACTTATTGCCAATTATGGACTCATATCATCTCATAGAGTCCCTGGCACATAATAATATGCTACACAGTGGCAGTGGGGGTCGCAAAATGCCGATATATTACTAATAAACCCCAATGAACCGATCGAAATTAGGGATTTCGATCGGATCATTGGGGGTGGCACATGCCACCCCACCCCCCCCCCCCCCCCACTGGCCCCGCCAGTGATATGTGACCTCATGAGCATGTACGTCAAATATTATGCATAGCACTTTCTTAAATATACGTGGATCCAGATCTCGTTCTTAAAACTACGCCTTTCTTGCACGTTGGTTACATTTCAATTTCGCTTCGGATAAAACGAATATTTATTTTTCCCGATACAGTATATCAAATGAACACTCGAAGGTTGATTTTTAAAAAAATGTGTACATTAAGTTGATGCTTAGAGACCATCACACGCTGTACTTAAATCACGGGTGGCTAATGAGTTACTGTTACATTGTTCATTACAGAGCTTCTGCGATCATACATGCGGATATACATCGCTTACAAAACAAGTTGAGGATTTCCCTGATATTATATTGTTGGATTAGCGCGCTAAAATTATCTCCATAATATATCTGCAGTAATTAAGTGTTTTATATCACTCAGCAATACTTACTCAATACCTTCCAAAGCATAGCCCCTGGTGGAATGAAATTCCATAATCCTCGATTCATGTTAATCTGCAGGGGCAAGACATCTCGTGATACATTTTTAAACAAGATCAGCGGATCTTGATTTAGAGTGGTTATATTCAGTGCCTCAAGTCTCCGTGTGAACCCTGGTCAATCTGCAGCCCCCTGTCGGCCGCTTTAACCCTCACAAACACGAGTCCAGCTTCACGGTAACATTGTGAATCGTTCCTGTGTACGCACACGTGTGTGTGTGTGGTGGGGAGTGATAAGTGTAGCGGTTAGCGCGCTGCGCTCTGAACGTGGTGACCCGGGTTCGATTCCCGCTGACGGCCAACACTAGTGACGATTATCTGAACCGGTCCTGGACCTCCCCTAGGTCGACTCATCCTCAAATGAGTACCTGGTGCGGTGTGTAAACATCGCCACTGGGAAGACAAAGGCAGCGGCCGGGCGTGGTGCTGGCCACCCACCCCCTCGTGTGCCGTGCCGGCCTTCATAGGTGCTCGCTAACAGCACTTGCCCCAACAGTCTGTTAAGGCGACACGGGGAATCTTTGTGTTCTAAGCGTCGACACGGTGTGCCCATCGTATGCCGGCGCATCTCCACCACTGCTTATATTCACGTACCGTATTAAGTGAAGCGGTGACATCAAGGTGTGATATTGATCACGAATGTGTTTCAGGTACGTCCATCCCAGTGTGATATTGATTATGCATGTATTTCAGGTACGTCTATCCCAGTGTGATATTGATTATGCATGTATTTCAGGCACGTCGATCCCAGCTGTACTGAACAGTACATCAAATAGCCTCTATCTTCACTTCCACTCGGACATAAGTGTGTCTGCAGCTGGATTTCACATCGAATACACAGGTTTGCATTTTACGTGTTCAAGTGCATACGACGACAAACGTTGTTCATTTCATGCGTGCGACGCTGCCGTGGCGGGCACGGGTAGCACCCTTGGCTTGACAATCCGGAGGTCGCCCGTTCCACCTTCCCGGCGTGGCGGTTTTAACGAATTGGGCGAGTTTTGTTTTAGTTTTTTTTTTAAACCCCTCCATGCCGCCTCTGTCCACCCGGCAGTTTGAAATGCGTTCACCATCGTGAGTCGATGGGGCAGCTCGCCTGTGGGTGGGGGGGTAGGGCAAAGCTTTGGGCACTTGCACCTCTTCCAAGACGTCTGGCCGGCATGGAAGAGTGGAGTCGGGCGCCACGGTGGCTAGGAGATGTTAACTCCCTCGCCTGGTATGTAGGAGGTCGTGGGTTCCGATCTCGGACCCTGACGATGCCTGTATTTGGCAAGATGTTAACTCCCTCGCCTGGTATGCAGGAGGTCGTGGGTTCGATCCCGACCCTGACGCCTGCTGTATGTTTGGAGTTTGAATGCTCACCCCATGTTTGAGTGGATTTTTCTCCGGGTCCTCCGGTTTTCACCCCCCCACACTTAAAATCAACATCACGCTTTTAAGAGGATTTGGCTGCTATAAATCTCCACACGATGCTCAGCCTCCACTTCGTTGAGCTATCATTGCGACTGCCAGGTAGCTTCTGAAAAAGAGCTACGTAGCTAACGGGGGCCTCACTTGGTCAAATAAAAAATATATATAGTTTGATGAAATCTTTAAACACCTTCCAGTAGAGGGGCCCTCTGCAGCTGTCTCTCGTGCTGGAGGCGGCCCTTGTGCCAGCGGTGCCGTGAGCGAGCAATTACAGGGCTGCGCCTTTACCCGTCACACCACGGGCACGCTGTTTAAGGACAGCGTGCCATTTATATTAACTGTAATGACACGTTGTTTATCTGCAGTACACCTATTATAGAACTGTTATTTACGGCTTTGTAAATTCATACACCGACTGGACAAATTGTACGTTTATTTAATTTAATTGCTTGTAATGCTTTATGCTGGCGAAAAAAAATAATTGTGCAGGGTTTACCTGAGCATTTCCAGGATCTATGACACCCTAATTGCAATAAGTAGCCTTGAATTTAAATGTTTGTAGTCAGAGATCATTCGGATTATTTGTTTATGAGACATTATTACGGATTCCATTCCTGCTCTCCATGTGCATGCACGGTCATATAAAAAACAAGATTTAGTTTCTTATCGCATGAAGATATAGATGTCTCTTGACACAAAACACTCGCGTGAGGCGGTGGGAACATTCAATGGGACACTGTCGTTAAAGGTACGCACAGGCTCGCTGCTTCCATTTAACTCTCCCGTGCTCTGTGTCCACTACGGTGGATGCGCGCGATGATTCACGCGACTGCTGTGATGCTCTACGAATCATACGAAGCACATTGGGGGGAATTCCTTTGACTTCTAAATCACTTTAAACAAACGAGGACACGTTTCGGTTGTGTTTTAAATAACTCTGGCGTGAGTTAAGTGAGTCAGCCAATGCTCGTGGAGTACACTGCCAGAATATGAATTATAGTTGTAAAAAGGGGTACTGCTTTAGTCGAGTGCAGTATTTTCTGGCACCTGACATCGTTGTTGAATGCAATGCACACGGGGCTTTCGTGTTTTCTCGTCAGCCGTAGGCCTTGCATCGTGTCCTGAGCCAGAGCTCCCAACAAACGGGGTCAAAGTTGGCGACCGTTACCTGGTGAACGACGTCGTGATGTTCCAGTGTGAGCAGGGCTACACGCTGCAGGTCTGTGCCACTCTGAACATTGTTTCAGCACAAATGTAAAACCACAAATTTTCACCACCACCACCTTTTCCCCTTTACTTTTGCTCCTCTTCCCTCCCCTATATAAAACCCCTATGCTCGCAAAGTCCCTTAAGTGAGTGGGGCAGTGAGCCCAATCTTCTCCCCTTCCCTGAACCCAGGAGCACCGAGTTCTGGCTTCAATCGTCCGCGGAATTTCTGAACCCTCCCCCTCCTCCACCTCCCTTATTACAGTTCATGCTTTATACCGGGCTCTTGTAACAAAAAAAATCCTTAATATACAAACAAGACTCAAGTCATAAGCAGTGGAAGGGGAATATTGCAAGGACATGAAGGACCACAGCGAAACAACACAAAGACTCCACGCAATTAGAAGCTCACTCCCGGCTAGTTTTTCCACTCGGAAGAGACACCGCCGACACCGCAGACACCGCCGACCCCGCAATAGCGCTCACCCACATGCACAGCTCCGCTCACACGGCCGGGGGGGATAGCTCGCATGTGCACCGTGTGCGCAGCTCAGAGGTGGAGCTATAAACTTCGTGAGATGTTAACTCCCTCGCCTGGTTTACAGGAGGTCGTGTGTTTGATCCCGACTCCTGACGCCTGCTGTATATTTGGAGTTTGCATGTCTCTCTCCCCGTGGTTGCATGGATTTTTCTCCAGGTCCTCCGGTTTTTCCCTCCACATTTACAATCAACATGCGTTTAAGAGTATTTGGTTATAAATTTCCACATGATAAGCCACTCCATTGAGCTATCGTTTGTGAGAGCCAGGTTCCTTCTGAAAAAGGGCTACATCGCTCAGTGGGCCTTACCTGGTCAAATAAAAAATAGCTTAAATAGTTTCGTTTTAGAGTGGGTGGTCGGTGTGCAGACTAGAGGTGCGCAGGCACCGGGCGAGCACGAGGAGGGGGGGACTCAGAATCAGAATATTTACTAAATACTGGAGGAATCCGACGAGCTACAAAGCTCTTTTTCACAGATGTCCAGTAGGTAAACTGGGCATGGGGCCCTGCGGTGCGAGGAATGCAATGGGCAGGGCCCCATGCCAACTACGCTCGGCCACTAATCCCTCTCCGCCACAGCACTAATAGCTCTCTCTGTGTCCGATGCTTGAAACACCGTTCCCCTTTCCGATGACGTACTTGTACGACATCGTACGTGTACATCATTTGAACGGAACCGGAAGAAAAACTGAAATAAAATTAACTTCATCGGTACCAGAACTCCCCCCCGCAAGGCAATGCATGAGGGCATGTGGCACAGTTTGGTGCCAGCTACCGTAGAGCTATCGGTCATGTCGCTATAGTTCTCTGCGGTGAGTACAATGTCTCTTAAAAACAGCGGCGCCACACCTCTCTAAATAAAATGAACGCTCACCGCTTGCGCGTTCCAAGATTCAGCGGTGAGCGGGACACCACCTAACCTGCAACGTGCAGACGTCTCGGGAACGGGAAAGGTTTAATGAAGCATCCTTGGTTTGCACACGTGTCGATTCTGTGCGACCAATGCAAACTCGCATGCAGGCACCCGGTTCACAGGCTTGGCAGTATTTTTTGCACTAAAACGTGAGACCCTCGATCTGATGATTATCGACTGCCATGCTGCCATCGGCGTGCTCTTTATAAGGTCCCCTCGGTGCTGTTCACTCGCGCTGCGCTTTAAATATCACTCGCGAACTCACGTGAGCCAAGACCCAGGGAATCGAGGTGAGGTGGAGAGTTTCAGAATGCAGCCCGCCGTACCTCCAATTAGCACAGTTGGCTACGTTTTGTGCGAAAGAAGTTCAACGTATATACATCCAATGATAATGCTATACTCTGGTAATTAACGTATTTTTGTTTTCACACATTTGCCAATATATCGTTCACGATGTTTGTGATTTTTTTATTACGCTACAAATACCCCATTATAAATGCGTTCGCAAAGCTATGGGCAAAAATAGCTTTGCGAACGTACATACATACGTGCCAACCGCTGCACCACTGCTCTCCCCCCGTGTCAATAATTATTATAACTTCTCAGGATAGTGTATTGTTTATGTTTGCTGCCAGCGTAGTGCACTGCTGTCTAATCCCCGTCCCTCTCCTCCTAGGGACCCACGCATGCCACATGTATGCCCGGTCCTGTGCGTCGCTGGAATTTTCCACCTCCTCTCTGCATCGGTGAGTTTCGAAGTATTAAAATACCATTCATTACCAATCCGTATAATCTCCGTTATTATCATTTGCATACATATACATTTATTAATTTCAAACATAAAACATATTGCGGTGTGGTTCTGCTTGCCAAGTGTAAATTAAATTCTGTCATATGCGTTTAGTGTATCCTTTTTATGGTTTATTTAAACATTTTATATTGTAATTCGCACTATTTTGTGGAATGTTGAATTCTGTGGTACACCGCTGAGGCCTGGCATCATGTTTAACCTCGCACCGAGCTGTACCAATGATGGTGACGTCGTGGATTTTGTGCCACTCCTATTTCCGCTCACGGAAAACACGTGACGATTATCTGAACCAGTCCTGGGCCTTCTCCCCCAGGTCTACTCAGCCTCAAATGAGTACCTGGTGCGGTGTGTAAACATCGCCACTGGGGAGACAAAGGCGGCCGGGCGTGTTTGTTGGCCACCCACCCCCTCGTCTGCTGTGCCGGCCTTCATAGGTGCTTGCGAACAGTACTTGCCTCAACAGTCTGTTAAAGGCTATACTGGGGATCTTTGTATTTGTGTGCTACTCACTTCGATTCCCGCTCACAGCAAACACCAGTGATGATTATCTGAACCGGTCCTGGGCCTCCCCTAGGTCGACCCTCAATTGAGTACCTGGTGCGGTGTGTTAAATCATCGCCACTGGGGAGACAAAGTCGGCCGGGCGTGGTGCTGGCCATCCACCCTCGCGTGTGCCGTGCCGGCCTTCATAGATGCTGCTCGCTCACTTGGCCCCAAGAGTCTGTTAAGGCTACACGGGGGATCTTTGTCTTTGTGCCACTCACTGGCAAGTGGGGTTCCCTTTAGTAGAGCCATCCAACGGTGTGTTTTGCTGGCCACTTCGAACACGAGCTCAACAATGGCCAGTTACCACAGACTATTCGCCGGTGCTCGTGCAACGTACCCGCGAACAGAACTCAGCATTGCGTGAAGCGCACGACGGACCGCGGACACCAACAGAGCGCGCGGAGGCCGTTGCAGGAAGCCAGGGAGAACTCCCTTAGTGCAGCTCCACTTGTTTCCAGATCCCGCGGGGAGCCTGCGTCCCATCAGCTGGGAGCCCATCTACTCTTCATTGCTTAACCAACAAGCAACTGCAATTGCTGCGCATGCACACAAAACAAAGATGACGATCTCCCCTGTATAGCCTTTAACAGGCTATTGGGGGCAAGTGCTGTTAGCGAGCACCTATGAAGGCCGGCATGGCACACGAGGGGGTTGGTCGCAAACACCACACCGGGCCGCCTTTGTCTCCCTAGTGGCGGTGTTTACACACTGCTCAAGGTACTTATTTGAGGCTGAGTCTACCTAGGGGAGGCCCAAGACCAGTTCAGATAATCGTCACTGCTGTTGGCCGTGAGCGGGAATCGACCTCGGATCGCCGGGTTCGTAGCGCAGCGCGCTAACCGCTACACCACCGCTCCCCTGTAGGCACACAGACACGCACACACACGCACTTGATCCCACAGAATGAATGCACGCTTACACCATAATCAGTCAAGCGTGATTAGATATTTTTCAAAAAGCAATGCACACCCTTTTATGAATTCGCTGATGGCAATCACAAAATGAGAGGGTTTAGCTGATGAGACCTGTAATTTACCTACCCCCTGCATTGTGTGTCAGCGGAAATTGTCCACGTTACATGAGCAATGCAAAAAAATAGCATTAACAGCATCAACATCGCAGAGGAGGTGGGGGGAGCGACAAATGAAACGTAACATTGCGTGATAAATGTGTGCGATGAAGGGCCTGTTGACTGTAATACAGCGAGCTGGTGGAGAGCTCCATTTTTCTCCGGCCAGATCATTTGAGGACAACCTTTATGCAATTCCACCTCCTGTGCTGTGACTGATGACATTTCTGGACACCGTGTGCGTGTGCCCGGGAGAGGATTTCTTGGAACCTGTGATTAGGCCACAAAAGAAATGGCAATGAGTTATGATGGCGCTTATTCCATTCCTTTCCGGACATTGTGGAAATGTAGCTTATTCCCAGACGGGTCGCGCAGGATCTGAGCGGAAAGCCAAAAATACATCACACTGGGCACTGCGTGGTGTTTGGTGCAAGAGAGAACGGGAGCATTTTTGAAGAGGAATGTCACATTATATGAATGCCGTGTTCCAAAGCTATTACCTCCAATGAATAACAACCCACTAAATGCCGTAATCCTTAGGACGAGATAACAGAAGGATTCATCGAGAGGAGAGTGAGTGGAAGGAAATGTCTGCTGCGGTTGGGAGTTTTAAGGCTTTTCTGGTGGTGGGTCGCAGGAATGAACGATTTACATTGTGTGCGCCGGTGAGTTTGCCTGCAAGCGGTCGACAGTGTGTGAGTGGACGACTAATGCGGTGGCGTGTGTGCGGCGTGTGTGTGACGTGGTGTATGGCGTGTGTGTGGTGTGTGTGCGGTGAGTGTGTGGTGTGTGTCTGGCGTGTTTGTGTGGTGTGTGTGTGGCGTGTATGTGTGTTGTGTGTCTGGCGTGTTTGTGTGGTGTGTGTCTGGCATGTGTGCGGCGTGTGTGTGGTGTGTGTGCGGTGTGTATGTGTGGTGTGTGTGTGGCGTGTATGTGTGTTGTGTGTCTGGCGTGTTTGTGTGGTGTGTGTCTGGTGTGTGTCTGGCGTGTTTGTGTGGTGTGTGTGCTGTGTGTATGTGTGGTGTGTGTCTGGCGTATTTGTGTGGCGTGTGGCTGGCGTGTGTGCGGCATGTGTGTGGCGTGCATCTTGCATGTGTGCGGCGTGTATGTGGCTGGCGTGTGTGCGGCATGTGTGTGGCGTGTCTGCGGCGTGTGTGTGGCATGTCTGGCGTGTGCGTGGCGTGTGCGTGGCGTGTGTTACCTGGCATGACTCACGCAGCTCAGTGTGGCGGAGTGCTCACCGAGCTGACTGGGGTTATTCTAAGTCCGGGATTTCCGGGAAACTACCCCAGCAACCTGGACTGCACCTGGAAGGTTCTCCTGCCCATGGGATATGGTGAGATCGCGGTTGGTACAATCACGTTGTTAATTACGCTCTCGTCAAGGAGCATACACCATTGTGCAAAACTCCGGTCATCCTCGCAGCAGCAGCGGCTTTTGGCTGCTAGCCATCGAACAAAGTCACCGCATCGCACGCTTTCAGATGTGCTTCTGCGGCCGTCTGGAACGCTCTTCCGATATCAAGAAGCCACTGGAGATCTGCACTTTTAGATCATCTCGATTAACAAACTGATTTCTTTTAGAACTGCTTTTTGTGTTTGGTTTGTTGTACTTCCCCCGCACCTCCAATTAGCGTGGTCGGCCACGTATGGTGCGAAGTAGGTTCCAACGTATATAGTACATCATTATTGACATTAGAAGGTAAAGCTGCAGCCCCGCAATTTCTCACGCCACCATTGACGGAAGGGCCTCCGGGAGCCCCCATAGAGGGTTTGGTGGCCAACTCTTGAACGTTGGCCAGACGTCTATGGAAGAGGTGGCAGTAACCCACACTCTATCCCACTACACATGACCCGTCGACCGTCTATAACTGTGGTTGTGCTCAGTTAAACTGCTGATTGGGCAGACGCGCCCATTGTTCAAACTGCCTTGCTGAGAGATCGAACCAGCGACTTCCGTATTGCAAGTGCAGTGCGCTGACCCTTACACCGCAGCAGCATCCATATTAAAAAATTACCCCTGGCTTATTACGTAGGTCATGCAATGTCTCTCGTTTTGATTCATGCAAACACATGTTTGTTTTTTTATTCCAAAAGCTGATTGAAAAGCGCGTACGTGAGTACCATGGTAGAAACCCTTTTCTGAATCTAGCTTGCTCGCTTGATTGGTCCACCTCTTAATCATTCATTATTTAAGTTCCCTCTGATGGCGGTGAGCGGCGTTAAACGTGACATGCGGGTGCCTTGGAGGATCTGAAAACCCGCCTTGTCGGCGTAGCACAGTCTCCACTGTGCAGGATCATGGCCACGCATATAAATTAAACGTTCAAAAAGGCCTTCTCAAACATAAACACGGCCAGAACCTCGATTATCCGGGGTAATTGGGGTGTGTGAGACGGGAGGGGCGCTTCTTCCTGCCATAAGAATTGGCACAAATAAGAAATCCCAAAACACCGAGCGTAAAGAAACCACACGCGCGCCCGCACGCATCGATTCGTTTGCCTCACATTTCGCAGGCGCTTACTTCGCGTTTGTCAACTTCTCGACGGAGCCGCTGCACGACTTCGTGGAGATCCTGAGCGGGCCCCCAGAGGCGCAGGAGGCCATCGGGCGCTTCAGCGGCGCGCGGCCCCCGGCGCCGGCGCTGAGCACAACGCACGACACGACGGTGCACTTCCAGAGCGACTACTCACAGAACAAGCAAGGCTTCCGACTCTCCTTCCAGGGTGAGGGCGCGGGGATCCCCCTGCCAACGTTTCTCTCGTGACGGTCGTATGTCTGTAGAACCCATCTTAACGACGGTAATTGGTTCCACGAAAGCGGTCGTTAAGTGATTTGGTCGTTAAGCGTGTATTGGTTTCCACTTCAAAGCGCGGCAGACACCAAATGTAAAAAATGCCCCCCAATGCTCACGAATGGATGTAGCTGATTGGACGAGGCCTGGTTTCCAGTCCATATGGCCTTCAGCCATTTAAATACGGGCAAAAAACTATTTGTGTTTATTTGTTTGTGTTTCTCCCTTGTCATGGGACTTTTTAGGATGAACGATAAGAATAATAAGGGCACGGGGTGACCAATGAGGTCAGAATTGGTTTGTAATAAGGTAGGCACTGATAAAGGTTTTTTTTGGGTTATATTGCGTATATATATAAATATATTTACGCAATATAACCCACCCAACACAGCCAATTAGTAAGGTTTGTCATGTCAACAGAACATGCCAATTTGTCACTAGTACAGCACACCGGTGTGTTAGAGAGCAAAGCCACAACATTTACAATCTGAGTACGATGTTTTGCCAATAATTACTAGCTTCATCAGGTGACAGCCAGAATTTGTGGAGAAGTCCTCCTGTTTCGTTCCTTAAATATAGGGGTAGATGTGATGACATCACTTGTGTGCTCTACTTGTGCGAAGGGGGAGATTAATGAATGCATATAAATGACTATGGGTATTCATTGCCGCTTGGGTTATTTATTTGGCAATCAACGTACATTATGCATGCGCATTATGCAAGCCCATTGTTCTAGTACCGCCTGTCGATTTTGTATACTAAAATAGCCATACCAACAGTAATCCCTATTGAAGTATGGTGACCTGTATAGGCATGCATTTAAAAATGTCTTATTTGATGACTCGGTTAAATATTTTTTGTTTCTCTCAATTTCGATTGATTATCTCATTAATCTTGGCCAGGAGTAACTAGTTTTGCACATAACTTCAACATTATCAAAATCAATTGAGTGTCCTTATTGGCACGTGTGTTCTGCCACTGCCGACAGTTGTATTTGGGAGTATTTAATATATCTTTGGTGTTATTTTAGTCTCGTGCTGATCATTTGTCCTGTTTGCCCAACATAACAGTTACCACAGTGCAGTTAATCCTGCATACACCTTCTGTTGATAGCTTCGGTAATACATCTTTTGTACCAGATATTAATTTCTGTATTTTATGTACCATGCCAAATCTGACTTGTATGTTTTGTTTTTCCGAACATCTGGCTAGTTTATCAGTTGCTCCCGCAATGTGTATGGTATTTTAATAGTTTTAATGACTTGGTCAGTTTAAACGCTTGTGTTAATTGATCTGGTTTTGGCATTCAATGCCGTGTTGATTTGTGCATAATTGTAACCGTTCAATTGCAGCGCTTCTTTAAAATGTTTAATTTCACTTCTCAGACTATCACCAACTGACACTTTCTTAACCCGATGTATGAGCGTCTTCATGAGAGCGGATTTCTGTGCAAGGTGATGGTGTGACTGCAAAAATAGCCCAAATGGCAATTGATACCCATAGTCATTTATATGCATTCATTAATCCCCCCAACGTCACGCAAGAAGAGCACAGAAGTGATGTAATCACATCTACCCCTCTGTTTAAGCAACTAAACAGGAATATTTCTCCACAAATCTGGCTGTTGCCTGATTGGACTAGTAGTAATTATTGGCAAAACGTCGTACTCAGATTGTAAAAAAAAACTCTTTGGGTCTTTCGGTAAAGTCACGTAGGTAGAAAAATAATAATAGATCACGACGTTTCAATCGCCACACAAGCAACCGTCTTCAGGTGGAAGTGAGAAACAGGCTGCTACAACAAGACCGTATATATAGAGCCGAGAGGGGGGGAGGGGGGAGTTGCCGCATCGGGGAAGAGGGTGGGGGCAGGAGCTTGTGTTGAGGAGGTGGCCATTGTATTGTGAGAGATTAGCGTGTCAATGTGTAGTGACGGTATATCCGCCACTAGGGGGATCGAGCACTGAACAGGGTGAAGGAAAGGCGCGAAGATGATCGAGGGTCAAGTGTAATGATGGTATATCAGCCACTAGGGGGATAGAGCGCGCAGCAGGAGACACACACAGAGAGACACAGAGACACACAGAGTGACACACCCAGAGAGAGAGACACACACAAAGTGACACACGGAGAGAGCCACACATACACACAAAGAGACACAAATAGAGAGAGAGACATACAGGGAGACACACAAAGAGACACACAAACCGAGAGACACACACATCACAGCAGTTATAGTCTGCTAAAAAACGAGAGCCACCGCCACATCGAGGGAAAGGGGGCAACGTTGGCTTTGTTAGTGAAACAATTTAGCCCATTAAAGTAGCTATTTCTATGACCAGTCACAAGCTAATCCCTCAGCTATTTCAATGCTAAATTCTCCTGTTTGATTTGTACTAGATGCCTCTGTGGATGTCTAGGCTTTGACTTTAACATAGCTATTTCTATGACCAGTCACAAGCTAATCCCTCAGTTATTTCAATGCTAAATTCTCCTGTTTGATTTGTACAAGGTGCCTCTGTGGATGTGTAGGCTTTGACTTTAACATAGCCATTTCTGTGACCAGTCACAAGCTAATCACTCAGCTATTTCAATGCTAAATTATCCTGTTTGATTTGTACTAGGTGCCTCTGTGGATGTGTAAGCTTTAACATAGCTATTTCTATGACCAGTCACAAGCTAATCACTCAGCTATTTCAATGCTAAATTCTCCTGTTTTATATGTAAACCCTTTGTCAAGGTGCCTCACTTCTCTAAACCAGCTTAAAAAGACGCTACGAATCTTAACAACGTTCATTGAAGCTCTGTCGTCCCGACAAGTCTGTTCCTTTCACCTGAAGAAGGCCACTTGTGTTGTGGCCAAAACGTCGTGATAATTTAATTGTTATTTTATTTTATTAATTTATTATTTTATTCTCATTCTACGTGACTTTACCGAAAGAACCAAAGAAGATTAATCCTTGCAGTCACGAAAGCTTTAAATCGAAATTTCATTGGACCTTACCTGGTACAATAAAAATGTTTTTTTAGCGTTATAAGTGTATTAGGTAACACATTTTTTTAGAACGCGGATGCGAATTTGGATATGACGCAATCGAGCGAACGGAACTACATCGCGCGAGGAAGAAGCGGTCGTACGGCTGCCTCGGCATAGTATCACACAAGGCATTGGGATGCTGCTGGATGCTTCTAGATGCTACCCACGCGTCTCGGTCTATGTTCAACCTCTATACGCATCTCACGGTGTTATCGAGGACTGTGCTTTCCCCAACATTATATTATCGATCATAATACGATTTTTATACAACGCACTGTTCTTCAGGAACGCAACAACTACCGCATTATAGGAGAGCAGACTTAGTCTGTACGTACGTATGTTGAACAATTTAAACGAGCACAACCACAGTTATGGACGGTCGGCAGGTCGTGTGCTCTGGGGTAGAGTGTGGGTTACTGCCACCTCTTCCATAGACGTCTGGCCAACGTTCAAGAGTTGGCCACCAAACCCTCTATGGGGGCTCCCGAGAGCGACCTGGAGCGGAGGCCCTTCCCCCAACGGTGGCTTGAGAAATTGCAGGGGGCTGCACCTTTACCTTTTAATGTCCATAATGATGGACTATGTATGTTGAGCCTCTCGCACGCCGGTCGTAGCAAAACAACGTGAATCGGAGATGCGGGGGGGAAGGACAACAAATAAAACACAAGCAGCAGTTCTGAAGAAATTAATTATTGTCAACGTGACATCACTTCAGCTTGTCTTTGTTAATGTATTTACTTAAATAAAAAAATTATGCAAATCTTATGTCATGAATATGGTAAAAATGTTTGAAATTGTGCGCTTTTAAACGGTTGTCTATTCGGTACAGCAAAAGCTATCGTTATCCGGCACGTTACCGTGTGGAACGCTCTATTAACCGGCGTCTGTCATAGACGGCAAAGCGAAAACATTGCGACAGCCATCCGGCATCTCGCCTGTGTGCTTCTAGTTAATCTAGTAGATCCGTTGTCGTTGTTTACGGGCGCATTAGGACGCTGACGAGTGGTGGCGCCATCGGCAGCCTGTACACAGTACTCTGCTACTGTATACAGTCCTGTACAACTGTATACAGCACCCTGCTACTGTATACAGCACCCTGCTACTGTACACAGCACCCTACTACTGTATACAGTACCCCGCTACTGTACACAGCACCCTACAACTGTATACAGTACTCTGCTACTGTACACATCACCCTGCTACTGTACACAGTACCCTACTACTGTACACAGCACCCTGCTACTGTACACAGTACCCTACAACTGTATACAGTACTCTGCTACTGTATACAGTCCTGTACAACTGTACACAGCACCCTACCACTGTATACAGTACCCTGCTACTGTATACAGCACTACCACTGCACACACAGCACTGTACTACTGTAGACCGCACTGTAGTACTGCTGCTGTATACAGCATTCTGCTCAATCTTGTACGACTATATACAGTTCTGCACAACTATATACAGTAGCAGAGTAATGTCAATAATGATGTACTCTGTATGTTGAACCTCTCTCACGCCGGTCGTAGCAAAACAGTCTTGTACAACTGTATACAGTCCTGTACAACTGTATACAGCACTCAACTACTGTATGCAGTACTGTGCTTCTGTATACTGTACTATAAACGGCCCAAAATGCTTCGCTACAATGAACTTAGAATGCTGTATAACCGCCTGGTGATTAAAAGAGATTATTTATATCATCGTTAAAATGTATGCTTACTTTCTTTCTTGAAAATAATCTGAACGAATATAGATATTAACACAAGGAAGATCTGAAACACGGTAGGACCAATACCTCTGCCGTTGCTGATCATTGTTTTAACGCAGTGGGCACACGGAGGTACTCTGCAAACCCACCGGCTATCATCAGAGATCTGTTCATGAAGCCATCCAGATGTATAAACACAGACACAACTTCAACCGAGATGGGTACAAACTGAGTAATCATTGGAAGGACGTTATTAAGCATGTAAAGTCTTAACTGACAGTGATGTTTCCATCCATCATGCCTATGTCAGCTGTTATTTCCGACTCTCTGTGTGTCTTTCTCTCTCTCTTTGCATCTCTCTTTGATCTCGACTCCAGTGACCCGGGTGCTACCGCAGGGTCCACTCTCCAGTGCTGCCATGGTGGCCCACTTTACTCCAGTAACCCGGGTGCTGCTGCGGGGTCCACTTTCTGCCCTGCCCCCCTCCCTTCTCTTTCTCCCCCTGCAGCCAACCTCTCCAGTGCTGCTGTGGTGGTCCACTTTATTCCAGTGGCCCGGGTGCTGCTGCGGGGTCCACTTTCTGCCCCGCCTCTCCCCACCCCCCCCCCCCGTCTCCTCCCCCCCCCCCACTGTCGAGGCCTACTATATAACCTCGTGCCACGGCAGATCTCTCGCCTACTTCAGCAGGTTTCTTTTGCTGAGGTTGTCCCACCTGATGACGATTGCTTGTGTTGCGATCAAAACGTCGTGATCTATTAATTTCTACATACGTGACTTTACCGAAAGAACCAAAGAGTATGAATATAGATATTGTGTTTAAATATGGAACACGAGTATTTATTCAGTTACCGCCCGTGTTATTTGGGAAAGTCGAAAACAACACGATAGACGCTCTAATCAAGCAGCACAGCTGCGTCTCACTCCACCCGGCCGTGCGCGATTCACGCACGTCAAGTTCTCTCAATGCGAGCTCTCCTGCTTCTGGGCACATTGTGTGTATCCCGTGCACCAACGTTGACGTCTTCTCTGGGCTTAGTAGCATCCCTTCAAAACCGGCATTAAACTGTGATCCTGGAGGCGGTCTCTCGTCAAGGCTCTCAAGTGCGCAGGCGGTGCAACTGCACCCCAGGGCTCAAGAGTCAGAGTGGGCCGAGGCGATGTCGATAAAAATGGGGGGGGTAAAAATTTGACAGGGACCACTTTAAAAATAAAAAAATAAAATCGCGTTTAATTTAAGTGTTATTTAGATAAAAATAAAAGCATGCTGCCTATTGAGTAAGTGCGGGCCTGAAATGTTAATGTTAACGTTTTTGATCTTTTGTTACACCCCACTTTTAAATATTTAATTTCAGCCTACCAACTGAGCTCGTGCCCTGACCCGAACCCTTTCCGCAACGGGCTGGTGATGGGCGCCGAGTATACCGTGGGAAGCTCCGTCTCCTTCCGCTGCCTGCCCGGCTACACCCTGGTGGGCCACCCCATCCTGTCGTGCCGCCATGGACGCAGTCGCAACTGGGACCACCCCATCCCCACATGCCAAGGTTCGACTCCCTTACAGAGGTCACACGGCACCTCCCACGTGTGAGCCGCCGGCGTTCTGCGTACATGTGCGTGCGCACACTTCAAAGTGCACCTGGCCTGGCACAGGCGCCGTGGTGACGTCACCGTCACTAAGTGGCGAATGGTGGGTATTGGTATCGGTGCGTGCATCGGTGTTGGGAGCGAGATGTTATTTCGCCACCACGGTGACAAGATAACATTGATGCTGACCTTAACGCCTGCCGTATATTTGGAGTTTGCATATCTGTCTCTGAATAGTCGTGTAGATTTTCTGCGGGTCCTCTGGGATTTCCCTCCACATTTAGAATGAACATTACTCTTTTAGAGTATTTGGCTGCAATCAATTTAAGCCACTTTGTTGAGCTATGGTTTGTGGTTAGTTCGCTAAATAGCTCAGTGGGCCTGACATACTAAAATCAGAATGGTTTAATTTAGTGTAGCAATTAGCACGCTGCGCTACGAAACCGGCGACCCAAGTTTGATTCCTGCTCACGGCCAACGCCCGAGGTCGACTCAGCCTCACATGAGTACCTAGTGCGGTGTGTAACGCTCTACAGAGGGTGGTGCGGTCAGCCCAACATATCACTGGAGGCACGCTGCCTGCTCTTCAGGACATTTACACCTCTCGGCGTTGTAGGACGGCCAGGAAGATAATTAAGGACTTCAGTCAACCGAGCCATGGACTGTTCACTCTGCTACTGTCTGGTAGATGGTACAGAAGCAACAGACTTAAAGAAAGCTTCTACCATCAGGCCATCAGACTGTTGAACAGCCATCACTAGCTGTCTATCTGCCATGTACTCTGACCTACACCTTAGAGACCGTTTTGCACACATACAACCATACACTAACTCACACACAAACACACACACTACGCACACAGGCAGTCTTTCACACGCAACAACAACAACAACAACCGCCATTCGCCACTAAGTGGCGGTGACGTCACCACGACGCTTGTGCCAGGCCATGTGCACCTTGAGGCCACATGAAATGTCGAACGCCCGCTGGCAGGAGGTCACGGGGCAGACCAAGGTGCCACAGGTCGACTGACTGAGATGACCGAGATGACCGGCTGATGCACCACCTGTGCCCCCTACTGTGCCAACTTGCTGTGCTCTAGCCACCCGGCGCTCCACTCATTGTTGTGAGCGTCGTTCCTCCGCCCTTTGTTATTGTTGGAGGGCGACTGCCTCCAACTACCCAGTAGCATCCTTCACGAGCCTACTCCACAGAGGCCGATCTTGACACCGCGGGTACCAGTCATCGGCAAGTCCACTCAGCTCCATGTCCTCCTGTACCACATCACTCCATCTCTTCTCTAGCCCGTGCTGCGCCCGTTTAGCCCCCTCTATCCGGCCGAACAAAAGCTCTTTAGGCATGCGGTGGTTCGGCATGCGGGCTACATGACCCAGCCAACGCAGCCTTGCCTGCCGGAGGAGCTCACTGATGGGACTTTGTCCAGATCTTTCAAGGATTTTTGAGCTCCTCACACAATCCAGCCTGGTTAAACCCAGGATGGATTGTAGGCAGGCCAGCCTAAATGTTTCTAACCGGCGAAGATGCTCCATTAGGGGGGTCGACGTTTCGCAAGCGTAGAGAAGGGGGGGAATGACTGTGGCCGAGAAGACCTGAAGCTTCTTGCGGAGCGACAGACCAGGTAGCTTCCACACAGCGTTACGCAACGGATGAAAAGATATTGCCGCTCGACTGATTCGGAGTGAGACCTCTGCTGTTAAACCGGAGCCGGTCATGAGCACACTGCCCAGATATGGGAAACTCTCCACTCTCTCCACAACTGCCCCATCACTGATTGGGAGTTGTGGGGGTGGAGTGTCCGATGGTACAAAATACCCAGGCAGGTGCTTAGTTTTGGTGGGGCTGATGGTAAGGCCCCACCTCTTAGTGGCACGCTACAGTTTCAGCAGCAGCGTCTCCAACTCCTCCTGTGAATGAGCAGAAATTACAAAATCATTGACCAAATCACTGACCGCACCCGGGCATCGATCAGCCTCCCATTATATCTGTACCAAATGGAAATTCCCCTGGTAGAGCTATTGAAGGCTTCACGAACTACGTGGTCAAAATAGATGTTAAATAATGTGGGAGCCAGAGGACATCCCTGTCGCACCCCAAGGTGTACAGGGAATGGCTCTGACTCCTGGCCACGTAGTTTTACCCGGGCCGGCTCACCATCATGAAGGTCCTTAATGATCGTGAGTAGAGGGTCAGGGACTCCGAAAGCACGAAGAACAACCCAGAGCCCAGGCCTATTGATGGTATCATAGGCCTTGACCAGGTCAATAAAGCAGAGATGTAGATCTTGTTGAAATTCCCTGCACCTCTGCTGTAGCAGACGGACATAAAATATGGCATCCTTGCAGGAACCCCCTTTCCTGAAACTGCATTTTGGCTCCGCAAGCCTCTCCTCAGCGTGCCTAGCAAGGCGATGTTGAATAATCCTTGCCAGGACCTTTCCCGGCATACTGAGGAGTGAGATGCCCCTTTAGTTGTTACAGTCTGTGCGGTCCCCCTTCTTAAAGAGGGGGACCACCAGGGCATCCTTCCAATCCTGCGGAACCCGTCCAGTGGTCCAGACTGTTGTTATGATGCCATGTAGGGCAGTCTGTGCACAAACGCCACCTTCCCTCAGCATTTCGCTTGGGAGATCATCTCTGCCCGGTGCCTTTCCTGGTCTCAGACTCTGGATCGCCTTCAGTACTTCCTCAACAGATGGCACCTCAGCCAGCCACTCACAGGGGGTGACTTCTTCTTCCAATATTTGAGGCACCGCAGCCTCAGCAGGGTCATTCCAACTTTGTGTCACGATGTTTTCTTGGCTAAGGGATTTCCCCTCCCCCAGGACCTCACAGAAATGCTCAGCAAATCTGCAAACCTGTTACTGGGGGTCGGAGATTGGATCACCGTTTTTTCCCCTAATGATGGTAATAGGTGTGGCGCTGCAGGTTACTTTTTTGATGGAGTTAAATCAGGATTTGTGATCGCGGGCCACTGAGGCAGACTCCATCTCCTCAGCAACCCGCGACCACCACCCATCCTTGCAGTGCCTCACGGCTCTCCGAACCTCCGAGCGAAGGCTGCGGTAAGCCTCCTCATTCTCTGATGTGGGATGCTCTAGACGATTAGAGTGGGCCTGTTGCTTTTTCTCAACCATCCTGAACACCTCCTCTGTCAGTCAGGGTCTCTGGGGAGGTCTGGGCCGCGTACCCAAAGCAGCCATTGCAGCTGCATGAGTCACAGTCCTCAACCTCGCCCATTTACCCTCGACATCAGGAGGAGTGGGAGACGATGCCAACCCCAGGCGCAAGCGATGATGAAATTGTCGCTTGAAACTTTCATCAGCTAGCTGAGACCAGGCCACCTTAGGTTGGAATGGGGTCCTGGGTGTACACCCACCAACGGAGTGAAAGAATGGCAGACGCATCTTACAGATGACTAGTCGATGGTCAGAGGGCAGATCAGCTCCACGGTAGGTCCTTGTGTCAAGGACATGGACTCGCATACGCTGGTCCATCACTATGTAGTCCAGCAGATGTTCTTGCTTGGACCCGGCATGCATCCATGATGTTGTGTGGATGCGCTGATGCCGGAACAGCGTGTTGGTAATTACGAGCTCATCGGCTGCACAAAAATCTAGCAGCCTCTTACCGTTGTTATTGAGCTGATCTGACCCATGCCTTCCAATCACTCCAGACCAGGTGCCAGCATCATGACCAATTCAGGCATTGAAGCCACCCAACAAGATGACTCTATCCCGAGGGGCCAGTTTAGCCAGCACCTGTGACAGGAGGTCATAGAAGGCATCTGACTCATCGGCCTTGCCTGCATCCCTCCACGGATGTTCGTCTTCGGTGGGGGCATAAGTAACCACGAACATCACTCCTCGCCTCCGGTTGATGGGAAGGCGAGCCCAAAAGTAGCCTGGGGCTTACAACTTCCCACACCTCATCGCCACGCTCCCAAGCAACCTTCATTCTTTTGTTCAGAAGAAGTGCCACACCCTGTTGTTTGGCAGTCTCCTGCCCTGAGTAGAGGACTGTCCACTCCTCATGGTGGCAGGAGCCAGAGCCGGTCCACCGGACCTCCTGAATGCCACAGAGATCCAGGCGGTACCAGTCCAGCTCCCGACAGAGTGGCAACCTATCCTCCGCAGTGAGCGTTCGAACATTCCACGTGTCCATCTGTAGTAGCTTTTCATTGTTTCTGGAGGAGCCCCGAGGGTAAAGATTAAATCTCCTGGCTCCGCCAGATGGGGTTTGGCCAGGAGACTTCATAGACGCCTGTCCCCCCGGGGCCTCCGGCACAAGCTTATTAGTTAGATATTTCAGTCGTGGTTTAGTGGTAATTTATTGAAGGTGGAGGGGTTTCCAGCCCCTCGCACCCGTCCAGAGCCCCCATTTAGCCACTGTGGTGGTCACAGACACCATGAGGGGAGAGGGCCAATCGGAATTGGCCCTCCCCCCCACAGCACTATCCATGACAGCGTTGCCTTTCCGGCACAAACACATACAGACACATACACAGTCAACGCTGCTGTCCTATGGATATAGAGACGTTAAACACTGTACACTTCCAATTTATATACTGTTTAGAAACACTGCATATTTGAATACCGTATACTCGACAAAGCTCACTCTAATATATATTGTTTTACATATCATTCATCTTACCTATAAATGTAATTTTTTGTCTGTGTGTCTGTCCATCTGTCTGTCTCTGTGTGGACGCAACTTGCGAAGGATTTGGCTCGCGAACCATGGGGTTTACTTTTTTAAAAAGTAGCCGAGTACCACGCAATAAGCCCCCCTGGTGAGCCAGCAATATTCCGTTTCCCCATCCGTAAACTTTAAAGTAGTTAAATTAACAATCTAGTGATATTTTTCTTCATTTAATTATTTCCCACGCGCCGCTAAAGCAGCCCGGGGGTTGCCCCTGCCAACGCACGTGCGTCATCGGTGGA